ATGCATTTGAAGTTTGGTTTTAATGGTACTTGCTGAGGCTGATAAATATGAATTTGACTGAACCTGGGATCAACACCCCATACAATTGTACGTCCTCGCCTTCATCGTCAACCCTATTTTCATCATTTACATCGTCAACATCGTTCTGAAATTTGATTGATCGAATTTTGATCCCACAACCCACATGTATCAATTTGTGGGATACAAAAAAGCAATGGAAGGATAAATTAATCAAATTTTGTACACATAATTGTCCTGTGAATTATACCGATTTATGACACATAAGCCTTTTCTTAGGCTGGAGGAAAGGATCCTTTAATGGATCTTTATATGGAAACAGTCACTATTAGTGCAGTCATCATTATAACAGGCTAGTACTGCCTCTTGTACCTATCCTTATGTACATGGGGAACATAAAATTCATCTAACATGATATTAACATTTTAGTTCCTCCTAATTTCCTCGCTATTCAAGCAGGAGCACAGACACTAAAGTAATGTCTCTCTTGCATGGCCATGACATCACCTTCACAGCATTCAAGGCAAGGGTTGCCAACAACTGCGACCCTCAGTGTCCGAATTGTCAGATGTTGGACAACAATTACCATCGAATCTTCTCTTGTCCACTGTACCGCTGTTCCTACAGAGAAACCATTCAAGAGCACTCCACTAATGACCAACCATGCTGGTCTATCTTAAGAGATGGTAGTGATGGCAGCATCACTGCCTTCCGATCTTTAGCACAGATCGCCATCGGTGAACTATCATAGAATTGATACTTATACTTATAGTACTCCTTCACCTCCATCCCCCTTCATGTCCTACATCTCCTTATGACATCACTCCCCCTTCAGCCTCTACTACTCCTTTACTACTCCATCTACTGCCTCATCTTCTGGACATCAATATCTTCTAGTTTAGTTGAGAATTCTCAACACCCACTTCCAAGTCGAGTACTCTCGACCCACTTAGTCCACATACCTTGCAAACTTACAGCAGGGTATTTGTAATGGTCTAAGTCCCTAATACACGCCAAAGATGGTTCCTCTATACTCAACCGTAGGAAAAGAGAATTAGGTGACTGTATTTTGTTCTAATGTTGATATTAATATAAGTATGTTCTAGTTGTTACTCCTTTTGTTTTAACGATTTTATGGTACTCTCCTTAAATTATTTCAATGCAGTACTGTAAGTCTAATGTTACCTCTTTTGTAAAGGACTTGGAACATGAATTAGAGAATAAAGTAATTGACAACTTCACGGTATTTCATGATGTTTTCAAAAGTAGTATCGATAAAACGTGTAAGTTGGCAACCCCTAAGTCTTCCAAAAGAACTACACAAAATAACCCATGGATCACACCTGGGCTTATAGCCAAAATCAAGCATCAGCACCAACTCTATGACAATTGGGCTAAAGTTAGAAAGAAAAAATGTAAACTCGGTGAAACTGATTATAAAGGTGGAACATGTCAATGCTTGAAATGTTGTGAAAAACGTTCTAGATACAAAACTTATAAGGATTATAGAAGGATGGTTAAAAAAGATCGCAAAGATGTTCAAACTAAGTATTTCATGGGAAAATTTGCAGACACAAACGGTAATAGTAAGAAGACATGGGAACTGATTAATCAAATACGGGGCAAACAGAAACGGCAAATAAAACCACTGTTTACTATAAACAATGAGAAGATAACCAATCGTAGAGTAATAGCCAATGAATTTAATAAGTATTTTGTTTCTCTAGCGTCTAATTTAAACGGGGCATATAATGAAATTGGAGAACTAACTATTAACAATCTTCCTAGTTTTTATGACTACCTGCCTAGAGCAAACACGTCCAGTATTTTCATTAATGACTGTACAGCTGACGAGGTTAGAATGATTATATCTGAACTGAAGAATGGGAAGTCATCCGACATCCCAATACATGTAGTTAAAGAATCGTCTAAAGTGATCTGTCCTATACTATCTTTATTATACAGTGAATGCATGAGGAATGGAGTATTCCCAGATGATTTAAAGACTGGGAGAATCAGTCCGATCTATAAGAAGGATAATGAGGAATTGCTGGAAAACTATAGGCCAGTATCAACTTTAGCTGTTTTTGGTAAGATATTTGAAAAAATTATTTACAACAGACTGTATAGCTTCTTTCAGTCCCAGAAAATGATTTACGAGAACCAGTACGGATTTAGAAAAAATCACTCCACAAGCCATGCCCTCAACTCCTCAGTGAATTACATAGAATCCTGTCTTAGCAAAAAACTGCATGTACTTGGAATATTTATTGATCTATCTAAAGCGTTTGACACGATCTCACATGAAAAACTACTTAATAAACTAGACAACTATGGAATACGTGGAAACGCCAATAGACTCATCGCTAGTTATCTCTCTAATAGATATCAATATGTCTCTGTACTGGGCGAAGAGTCTGACAAGCTGCCTGTTCTCTTTGGAGTTCCTCAAGGCTCTTGTCTCGGACCCTTGCTATTTATAATATATGTTAACGACTTATTTAGAACAACTGATCTGGGCAAGTTCATACTATTTGCAGATGACACAAACATATTCGTAGTAGATGAATGTAGAAAAAAACTGTATGCAAGAGCAAACGAAATTCTCCGTTTGTTACACCAGTACATGAAATGCAACCTATTACATATAAATATAAAGAAATGCTGCTACATTCACTTCAATCCGTCACGTACAGCTACTGATAATGAGGCAGATAACGAATCAGAATATATACTAACTCTAAATAATACGGTAATAAAGCAAGTTAAAGAGACCAAGTTTTTAGGTGTTATTATTGACGAAAAGCTAAAATGGGATGTTCAAATAAGAGCCCTCAACTCGAAACTTAGGTGTGAGATCGGAAGACTCAGTAGAATACGACACGTTATCCCGAAAAAACACCATAAAGAATTGTACCACACGTTATTTGAGTCACACCTAAGATTTGGAATATCGGTATGGGGTGGGTCGAGTAATAATATGCTTCAACCTATCTTCATCACTCAGAAAAAATGTATCAGAATACTATTTGGTGACCTTGAAGCATATCTAGATAAATTTAGAACATGTGCCAGAACACGTTGTATAGATGAACAAATCCTAGGAAGAGAATTCTTTGAAAAAGAGCATACAAAGCCGTTGTTTAACAAGAACGGCCTTCTTACCGTCCACAACCTGTACAAATACACATGTCTATTAGAACTGTTCAAAATTGTCAGATTAGAATCTCCAATCTCACTCCTATCTTTACTCCACAGATCACCATCACAAAGACGTTCAGACCAGTTCATCACCCCGAACCCATCCTCCTCTTTCATTTATCAATCAACAAAAATGTGGAACGACTGTCGAAAAATTGACAGTATGATAAGCTTTACTAAGTCAACGAACTTAGTTAAAGTAACACTGAAAAGTGAGCTACTCAAGATACAGTCCAGGTACGAAGATTTAGAATGGACAGAATTAAACTTCGATAAGAATGAGCTTGTATTTTAAAACAGAGTCCTTTGACTTTATTATTTTGAAATTGAAGAATCGTCTGGCCATAACTCATTTCGTTCGCATTACAGATTCACATTCACTTTCATTTTCACTATCACGCACAGTACAGGGTCATACCTCAATACCAAATTATTATAGGGCACAAGAACAAATTTGTTTACAATTATCAAAATTTGTTGAGCCCAGCAGCTTACTTCCTATCCTCTCTTCCCCCGTCGTCTGGAGCGTGTGATTTTTGTTGATATCCGAGCTCTTGTTTTTATCTTTTGGTTAACTTTCTGTGATTGGACTCGGTATTTTCGTCCCCGCCGAGTGGGACGATGCTTGCTCGCCAGTTAAGCTATACTTTAGATGACACTAATTTCTACAAACCACCAAATATTAAATATAAAATGTGTCCAGTATGGCGCAAATGCATCATTTGATAATTTCTCGACGCTGTCGTCGGGGTGAGAGTTATCTGAACCAACTGCATGCCCCTACGATTGCGTCACCACTGGTGAGCAAGCATTTGTTTGTTGTTTAGTTGTGTTGGAAGGGAACATTACTTGATTAATTCATCCATTAGGATTTTAATAACGATGAGCTAAGATATACCGTTCATCTTAGACTATTGGATCAATCTTATTATATGATTAGATTTTATAAACGAACCTGGCATACAAAAGATTGTAATGCGGAGGTTGGCTGGCTCTTCTATAATAAATACGACACTCCAACTTACAGAATGCTTGCTAGAGATAAAACAAAATATTATCAGACTATACATGCAGCATGAGTAACTGGTGGATAAGCCTTCGGTAAAAACGGATCCGGAAAAGTCAATGCGGCACTCGGGTCCTTGGTATTGTCGTCGGTATATTGTCCATTATTTACGTTCTGCTTTCATAGTTCAAACAATAGTGAGCTCTAAATATACAGCTTTAAACCGATTAAGTATGAATGAATGAAATACAATTCAAAAGCATGAGTAACTCGTAGTGATGTACGATTTCTAGAAAGTTTAAATTAAATTTGGCGCTCACAGGTCCTCGTGATCATGTGATCGCCGCATAATGTTCTGTAAATGCGCAGGGCACCTTCAAGCTTAAATTTTTCACCATACTGAGGCAGTCAACCAACGCGCGGCTTTATTTTTATGATATGATATGTTTTGATTGTTATTAATAAATACCAAAATTTAAATTTGTTTTACTAAAAATTTGTTTTACTAGTCACTCAGATGATTTTAAATCAGGACACTTAAATAAAGACACATACTCTGCCCACAATAAGGGGCCATAATTCTTAAATTATGTAACAGTATAGAATTATTATTATTATTATTTCCTAATTTAGAGCCACAATGCCAATTGTGATTTTTAAGTGGTTCAGTCAATATTTTAGAAGGGGAATATGTAGTACATTTTTGACAGTTTCATTTTATATCATTGTGATATTGTGTTTAAATTGTTTGAATACTTTTTACTTATTCAACTGTAGGTCCTCCTCCATGAAACTACTACATCGCAGAAATTTCAGGATGTTTGGTCTGTTTCTGGTAACAGTAATGCTACTCTTTCATTCTTCTTCCTCGACAATCAGTCAGAAAGATTGCACTATTAATCGCAGTAAAACTAATATACTACTAGTAGTAGCTGATGATTTGGGATGGGCTGATATAGGCTTCAGCCACAAGCCTGATGGGTTTGTGTCTGACAAAGGAATACCCGAAACTCCACACTTGGATAGAACTGCTGAAGAAGGTTTAGTTCTAGACAATCTGTATACTCAAGCAGCATGTACTCCAACAAGGGGATCATTAATGACAGGAAAATATGCTTTTAGGCTCGGACAGCTGTTTACTTCTTCCGTTATGACAACAGCGGACAAAAAGGGTCCGTCTGACAGGTTCCTTTCAGAGGTGAGTAGGTCCAAGTTTCCTACAACAAGTTTAATTAAAACTCGTTTTTATAGATCTGAATCCCTCCAATTGTTTAGTCATGAACCATTTCAGTCCAACCTCTTTCAAAAAACAAATTGTGTTTTTTAAAGTGATCGAAATAGTGAAACTAACTTTAGAAATAGTGCATTCAATTGGGTATCTTGATCCAAAACAATCATATCTATTCATGCTTTCAGGAATTATCAGAAAGTGGCTATAGAGTCCATGGTGTTGGTAAGTGGCATCTTGGCCATCAAAAAGGTAACCTACCTACACAAAAAGGCTTTGATTCTTTTTATGGAATTTATTCTGGTATGGGATCATACTACATTCATAAGGGAGTGGGACACTCTTATAAAAATGGAGTATGGCTTCATAACCAGGAAGATCATGATTTTCATTATGACTACAGGAATGGGTCTGAGTCTGTGTTCACTGAAACTGAGGATGATAAGGGTGTTCACTCTACTGACTTGTTCACTAAAGCAGCAGTCAGTAGAATAAAGGAGCACAATAAAACATCACCTTTGTTTCTGTATGTTGCATACACTGCCCCTCATTCACCTCTAGAACCTGATGAATCTATTGTTGCTAAGAGAAACAACCACATCATTGATGTGGAGAGAAGGCGCTATGCTGCCATGGTAACACAGATGGATGATGGATTCGGAGAGATCCTTTCTGCACTTGAGGAAAGAAGTATGAAGGAGAACACAGTGATAATATTTGTAAGTGATCACGGTGCAGCACTAGTTAAATCCTGTTGGGACTATGTTGGTGGGAGTAATAAACCATATCGTGATGGTAAATTTACGTTTTTTGAAGGTGGAATAAAGAGTGCTGCGTTCATCTGGGCACCGTGGCTTAATGATGGTGTAAAGGGTACTCACAGCAAAGCTCTTGCTCATGTTGTTGATATCCATTTCCTGGTGTTATCCTTGGCAGGTAATAATTTCATAATAATCATGTACTTAATGCCAGAGGGGGTAGAGGGATCAAAATCATTTTTCTAGTTTTAACATAATATGTGATAGAGCTGCTGGAGATGACCGAGAAGGAAAGAACCACATAAAAATCTAACCTTGTGTTGCTGAGATATTGCACGCAAAAGTTGGAGGTTCTGAAAATGACTGGCCACTCCCAGAAACTGAGACTTGGCACAGGTGTTTCTTGGGCTAAGTTGTGGTTTTCCTTTTTTAAGTTTTATATTTGAGGTATACCGCAAACGTTGGCATGCATTATCTCAGAAACACACGGTCAGATTTTTGGTTCTTTCCTACTCGTTCATCTCCAGCAGCTCTATCATATTATATTATGTTAAAACTAGAAAAATGATTTTTACCCCTCCCTCTTTGGCCTTAAACTCAGACTCTGAAGACCTAGATAATCTAATTATGAACATTTAGAATTCCACTTAAATTATAAACATGTTTTGAATACACTTCACATAACTTCTTCAATCCTGAGTAAAATGTAATCTTATGACCTGGTTACAAACTAACGTGAACTTAGATTTGTTTTCAGGAATGACAGAAACTATCTCGGGCATGTTTCAAATTACTGAAGGAGGATTCAAAAAAGATGGTGGAAACTCCTTGCTCAGATCTCTTCATGGTGATCATTCTGGCAGGTTCGAACATAATATGATATAATATGATATTCATTTATCTACTTTTTCTATCATGGTGGAAAATTCTTGAGATAATAATGGTGATAATTAAATCTAGAATTGATCTTTAATTTACTGTATCATGCTAATATATGACAATTTGAAAATACCCATGGCTTGGTTAGTGGTTACACGCAAATAGATTTAGGCCTTGTGGTTGTTTGTGGTCTGGTTGTGATCTGAGCAACAAGACCTTTATATTATTAATGTGTGACCTGTAGACATTCAAAAAATCACCTATTGCATTGTGATGCGACCTATAGAGTATAGAGTATAAATAAATATCATAATGAGTAAGTTCTGCATTTCCTGTTATACATACGCTACCTCACAGCAATAATTAAATTACACAGAGATACAATCCTGCACAATCTGGTTGTCAACAAACTACCAGAAGATAAGCTTGTAAAGTACTGCAGTCCCACCACCGCACAGCCTGCCCAATATGGTGTTATCAGACACCACCACTACAAACTGTTTTATGGTGATTTACAAAGTTGGTGTCACTCTCACCTCCTGACAGAACCCTGTCCTGACCTGGTGTTTGTGAGGGGGAGGGCTGCAATGTTGTTTGACTTAGAGATAGATCCGTATGAGAGGGTGAATATAGCAGCAAGTAATATTGATGTAGTGGAGAAGTTAGCTGCTATGATATTGAAATATTCTAAAGATGCCCCCTCTCAGTGGGTCGTATAGGTGAGCTGTTTGTTTTTACTTGAGAGCTATTGTCGTCGAGTTTTCCTTACATGATTTGTATTTAGATATCCCTAATAAATGTAGCCCCAAATGGTGACCGAAATGGTAAAAAGTGTATTTTTATTGGTATAATTATTGCTTAATTACATTGTTTGTTTTAATTTGTCTGCACTTGTGTCAGCTTTATAAACCTACACTATGTATAGGAAATATAATATAGGATATCAGATTAACAGTATGTTTGTTTTACTGTCAATAGATGATAATAATTCGATTCATTGATGTTAAAATGATATTATAGTGTACAAGAGTCGGGTATGATTGGACATGGATGAATAAGGAGCAAACTCAGTCACAATTAACTTATTTATTTCATCTTTTACTTTTGGTTCCTATCTTAGTTATAGTAACAGTGTTGTCTTTAACTTTTGATTCCTAACCCACGTTTGCAGTTAACCATTAAAGCTACTCTATATTATTTTTATTGTCTAAACTTAACCGTTTAAGGTAAGCTATATATAGTTTTATTGTCTATTTGTTTGTATCTTGATCTGAAACTGATTTTGGCCAACATTTTAAAATCAGCCAGGTAATATGATAAATATATGTAGTACATTTTAGTATACATTAAAGTATACATTGTACATTATAGTATACATTATAGTATGTATTAAACATTATAGTGTACATTATAGTGTACATTATAGTTTACATTATAGTTTACATTATAGTGTACATTATAGTGTACATTATATTATACATTATAATGTACATTATACTATACATTATAGCATACATTATACATTATATTATACATTATAGTATACATTATGGTATACATTATAGTGTATATATTATTATACATTATAGTATACATTATAGTATACATTATATTATAAATTATAGTATACATTATAGCATACATTATACATTATAGTATACATTATATTATGCATTATAGTATACATTTTATTAGTATACCATACTCTCATTCGTGTGTTAATTGTAAATTCTCCCCTGGATGTTGCAGTTTTACAGTTAAACAGTTTTACAGTTAAACAGTTTAATATAGTGAAGTGTGAAATGAGGCCAACATTTGGCTTCTCTACTGTACTTCACTTTCTCTATACCTTGATACCTCTTGTTGTTATAACTCACAGCTGCTGTTCACATTGCTGTTAAATGTTAGACTGCACTTCCCTTAATGTCATTAAAGTTTATCTGAAGTTTCCGAGATAACAGGATTATCAGTGCATTTAGTTGATAAAATGTTTTATATTTTCAATGGAATGTTATGACGATGACGTCACTATACCACCGTTACAGGTGTTCCACTAGATGATATCAGCACACTAAAGCAACAGAGGAGATAACAACCAAACAAGAGAGGAGATAAGAATGGTGTGTTGGTTAATATTGCTGGTAATAATGAATGTAGCAGTAATGGAACCACAAGAGGAATACTGTAGGATAACAGCACCTAATATACTACTAGTTATAGCTGATGATTTGGGATGGGCTGATATTGGCTTCAGCCACAAGCCTGATGGGTTTGTGTCTGACAAAGGAATACCCGAAACTCCACACTTGGATAGAACTGCTGAAGAAGGTTTAGTTCTAGACAATCTGTATACTCAAGCAGCATGTACTCCAACAAGGGGATCATTAATGACAGGAAAATATGCTTTTAGGCTCGGACAACTGTTTACTTCTTCTGTCATGGGACCGCAAGAGAAGGAGAGCTCTTCTCACAAGTTTCTATCCAAGGTAAATAACAAATTCCTAGCATAATACCTTTTGGGAATAATTGATTATCTCTCGAAGTTGCCAGTACAAAACTGAATGCTTTCAGAATGCCAATAAAATATTTCTAATACAATATATAATATTATATTGTATGTATCTTCAGGAGCTTGCCGAAAGAGGGTACAAAGTACACGGGGTTGGTAAATGGCACCTGGGACACAGGGAAAAGAGATATCGTCCCACTGAAAGAGGATTTGATAGTTTCTACGGTCTGTACAAAGGAATGGGGACTCACTACACTCACCACCACGTCTCCCACCCCTGGCTAGGTGAAACGTGGGGACGGCACTTTGGAGATCATGATTTTCATTATGACTACAGGAACGGGTCTGAGTCTGTGTTGACTGAGACTGAGGATGATGAGGGAGTTCACTCTACTGAATTGTTTACTAAAGCAGCAGTCAGTAGAATAAAGGAGCACGATAAAACATCACCTTTGTTTCTGTATGTTGCATACACTGCCCCTCATTCGCCCCTAGAACCAGATGAATCTATTGTTGCTAAGAGAAACAACCACATCATCGATGTGGAGAGAAGGCGCTATGCTGCCATGGTAACACAGATGGATGATGGATTCGGAGAGATCCTTTCTGCACTTGAGGAAAGAAGTATGAAGGAGAACACAGTGATAATATTTGTAAGTGATCACGGTGCAGCACTAGTTAAATCCTGTTGGGATTATGTTGGTGGGAGTAATAAACCATATCGTGATGGTAAATTTACGTTCTTTGAAGGTGGAATAAAGAGTGCTGCGTTCATCTGGGCCCCGTGGCTTAATGATGGTGTAAAGGGTACTCACAGCAAAGCTCTTGCTCATGTTGTTGATATCCATTCCCTGGTCTTATCACTGTCAGGTAATAATTTCATAATAATCATGATAATCATGTACTTAAGACTTATCAGTTATCACCGTCAACAGCTCATAAAAGTTATTATATTTTTAGTGAAAGTTGAAGAAATTTAAAACTGATACATTGGGCCTGCAAACCATTTAAACGATGATTTAGTTTGAATATTAATATTGATTCAATCTATTATGGTCTTAGAACAACTTTATTTTTTGATCAAAATAACAAAAACTGAATTTTCAGGTTGCATGACTAACTTAGTTGATAACAAAATAAACAATGAAGATGGAAGCATGTCCCTGATACGTGCTCTTAAAGGAGATCATAGTGGCAGGTTTGTTGAATGTATAATATTCTTATGTGACAAACAATATTCCCATATCACTACTTTTACATATTTCACTTTCATTTTCACTTTCACTTTCACTAACCCCAATATATAATGTTACAGAGATACGATCCTGCACAACCTTGTCTCCACCCCCCTCCCACTAAACAAGTTAACAAAGTACTGCAGTCCCACTACCCCTCAACCCGGTAACTATGGTGTTATCAGATATCACAACTACAAGCTCTTCTACGGAGACCTGGTGATGTGGTGTCACTCTGACCTCCTGACAGAACCCTGTCCTGACCTGGTGTTTGTGAGTGGGAGGGCTGCAATGTTGTTTGACTTAGAGATAGACCCGTATGAGAGGGTGAATATAGCAGCAAGTAATATTGATGTAGTGGAGAAGTTAGCTGCTATGATATTGGAATATTCTAAAGATGCCCCCTCTCAGTGGGTTGTGTAAGGTTTCAAGCTGGTCAGGTTGATTAATAGTTAGTTTTATTAACACAATTCTTGTTGTTATTATCCAGTGTTAAACTAGTGTGTTGCAGGATGGAACTGCAGGATGAAACTGCAGGATGGCTATGTAGTTCAGTGCGGCCTCTGCAAATGTTCATGTATATTATTAAAGTGATGACAAACTTTTCATCGCCTTTTATTTTCCTTCAACTCACGTTTACCACTCATAGTAAAAATCATTATATTAAGTTTCTGTGTTCTTGTTTGAGATATAATTAAACGCTGTAAATAACTCTTAACTTGCGGACAATGAGAAGGTTTAACAACCTAATTAACTTAATTAACCTATTAACAGAGGTGCAATGTACAGGGTGTCAGATTCATACACGGTGTTCTGTGTCAGAACTTCGTCTGCGGTTATTGTAAAGTTTTATAATTTATATCTGTATCCAACACTTTTTATATATTATATCAATTTCGTCGTTTCTTATCAGGCTTATCAGTTGTTTTCCTTAGATTCGGGGCTTGATTGGAAATTGGTTTTTATCATGTTCTCTGATTTATAGCAACTCATTTGTTGCTGTTTCTGTTTACAAAATCTGTCACAAATGCCTCTTTTCACGGTTTATATACCAGTTTATATATTATCTTACGCTATCATTCGCTATATATTACATTTTGTAAATAGATTAAATATTTGACCTCGGGAAATTAAGAGTTCCACCCGCCTTACAACCCCTCCTAATGTAGGATGACAGGAGGGCTCTGATGACGTCACCAAGTCACGTGACTATAGTGCTGGGCTCCCAGTGGGGGGATGAGGGAAAGGGTAAAGTGGTGGATTTGTTGGCTGAGAAGGCAAACATTGTCGCTAGATGCCAGGTTAGTAACTATTTTGTCAGAAAGGGCAGGAACCGAGAGTGCCCAATGTCATGACAATTTTACGACAAAATGTGACAATATGAGCAGGGAATGACAGGGAATGACAGGGAATGACAGGGAACGGCAGGAAATGGCAGGGAATGACAGGGAACGACAATACCTTACTCTGGAATATTATAGCGGGTTAAATTTATGACTGGGAAAATTAATGACCAGGAAAAATATGGCGGAATTTTCCAAAACCCACCAAGCATCAAAATGTATTACTATTAGTTTACATTACTCGGGAACATTATAGCGGGTTAATTTATGACTGGGAAAATTAATGACCGGGAAAAATATGGCGGAATTTTCCAAAACCCACCAAGCATCAAAATGTATTACTATTAGTTTACATTACTCGGGAACATTATAGCGGGTTAATTTATGACTGGGAAAATTAATGACCGGGAAAAATATGGCGGAATTTTCCAAAACCCACCACGTTATCCCAGTCATAATATTCCCGAATAATGTATTCGACAAACGGTGGGAAAAATCAAAAAGGGCACTCTCGGTTCCTGCCCCAGAAAGTTAGATATTGGTCAGTTTTACATTTTAAGAGAAGATATTAATAAGCCGATTAAGAGCCATTGTTAAAAAAGAGAGGCTTGTTATTGTAGTAGTAGGAGATTATTATTGACACATTACCTTCCCCACAGGGAGGAAACAATGCGGGGCACACAGTAGTAGTAGGAGATTGTTATTGACACATTACCTTCCCCACAGGGAGGAAACAATGCGGGGCACACAGTAGTAGTAGGAGATTATTATTGACACATTACCTTCCCCACAGGGAGGAAACAATGCGGGGCACACAGTAGTAGTAGGAGATTGTTATTGACACATTACCTTCCCCACAGGGAGGAAACAATGCGGGGCACACAGTAGTAGTAGGAGATTATTATTGACACATTACCTTCCCCACAGGGAGGAAACAATGCGGGGCACACAGTAGTAGTAGGAGATTATTATTGACACATTACCTTCCCACAGGGAGGAAACAATGCGGGGCACACAGTAGTAGTAGGAGATTATTATTGACACATTACCTTCCCCACAGGGAGGAAACAATGCGGGGCACACAGTAGTAGTAGGAGATTATTATTGACACATTACCTTCCCCACAGGGAGGAAACAATGCGGGGCACACAGTAGTAGTAGGAGATTATTATTGACACATTACCTTCCCCACAGGGAGGAAACAATGCGGGGCACACAGTAGTAGTAGGAGATTATTATTGACACATTACCTTCCCCACAGGGAGGAAACAATGCGGGGCACACAGTAGTAGTAGGAGATTATTATTGACACATTACCTTCCCCACAGGGAGGAAACAATGCGGGGCACACAGTAGTAGTAGGAGATTATTATTGACACATTACCTTCCCCACAGGGAGGAAACAATGCGGGGCACACAGTAGTAGTAGGAGATTATTATTGACACATTACCTTCCCCACAGGGAGGAAACAATGCGGGGCACACAGTAGTAGTAGGAGATTATTATTGACACATTACCTTCCCCACAGGGAGGAAACAATGCGGGGCACACAGTAGTAGTAGGAGATTATTATTGACACATTACCTTCCCCACAGGGAGGAAACAATGCGGGGCACACAGTAGTAGTAGGAGATTATTATTGACACATTACCTTCCCCACAGGGAGGAAACAATGCGGGGCACACAGTAGTAGTAGGAGATTATTATTGACACATTACCTTCCCCACAGGGAGGAAACAATGCGGGGCACACAGTAGTAGTAGGAGATTATTATTGACACATTACCTTCCCCACAGGGAGGAAACAATGCGGGGCACACAGTAGTAGTAGGAGATTATTATTGACACATTACCTTCCCCACAGGGAGGAAACAATGCGGGGCACACAGTAGTAGTAGGAGATTATTATTGACACATTACCTTCCCCACAGGGAGGAAACAATGCGGGGCACACAGTAGTAGTAGGAGATTATTATTGACACATTACCTTCCCCACAGGGAGGAAACAATGCGGGGCACACAGTAGTAGTAGGAGATTATTATTGACACATTACCTTCCCCACAGGGAGGAAACAATGCGGGGCACACAGTAGTAGTAGGAGATTATTATTGACACATTACCTTCCCCACAGGGAGGAAACAATGCGGGGCACACAGTAGTAGTAGGAGATTGTTATTGACACATTACCTTCCCCACAGGGAGGAAACAATGCGGGGCACACAGTAGTAGTAGGAGATTGTTATTGACACATTACCTTCCCCACAGGGAGGAAACAATGCGGGGCACACAGTAGTAGTAGGAGATTATTATTGACACATTACCTTCCCCACAGGGAGGAAACAATGCGGGGCACACAGTAGTAGTAGGAGATTATTATTGACACATTACCTTCCCCACAGGGAGGAAACAATGCGGGGCACACAGTAGTAGTAGGAGATTATTATTGACACATTACCTTCCCCACAGGGAGGAAACAATGCGGGGCACACAGTAGTAGTAGGAGATTATTATTGACACATTACCTTCCCCACAGGGAGGAAACAATGCGGGGCACACAGTAGTAGTAGGAGATTATTATTGACACATTACCTTCCCCACAGGGAGGAAACAATGCGGGGCACACAGTAGTAGTAGGAGATTGTTATTGACACATTACCTTCCCCACAGGGAGGAAACAATGCGGGGCACACAGTAGTAGTAGGAGATTGTTATTGACACATTACCTTCCCCACAGGGAGGAAACAATGCGGGGCACACAGTAGTAGTAGGAGATTGTTATTGACACATTACCTTCCCCACAGGGAGGAAACAATGCGGGGCACACAGTAGTAGTAGGAGATTATTATTGACACATTACCTTCCCCACAGGGAGGAAACAATGCGGGGCACACAGTAGTAGTAGGAGATTATTATTGACACATTACCTTCCCCACAGGGAGGAAACAATGCGGGGCACACAGTAGTAGTAGGAGATTATTATTGACACATTACCTTCCCCACAGGGAGGAAACAATGCGGGGCACACAGTAGTAGTAGGAGATTGTTATTGACACATTACCTTCCCCACAGGGAGGAAACAATGCGGGGCACACAGTAGTAGTAGGAGATTGTTATTGACACATTACCTTCCCCACAGGGAGGAAACAATGCGGGGCACACAGTAGTAGTAGGAGATTATTATTGACACATTACCTTCCCCACAGGGAGGAAACAATGCGGGGCACACAGTAGTAGTAGGAGATTGTTATTTACACATTACCTTCCCCACAGGGAGGAAACAATGCGGGGCACACAGTAGTGGTAGGAGAGACACACTACGACTTCCACCTCCTCCCCTCCGGTGTTGTGTATCAGGACGTGTCCTGTGTTATTGGTAATGGGGTGGTGGTGCACGTACCCTCTCTCTTCGAGGAGATCGACAAGAACATCGCTAAAGGTAGGGTGTCCAGCATAGTAACCTGGTAACATGTAACCATAGTAACCAGGTAACTTGTAACATGTAACATGTAACATGTAACCAGGTAACATGTAACCACAGTAACCATAGTAACATGTAGCCACAGTAACCAGGTAACATGTAACCAGGTAACATGTAACCAGGTAACATGTAACCAGGTAACATGTAACCAGGTAACATGTAACCAGGTAACATGTAACCAGGTAACATGTAACCAGGTAACATGTAACCAGGTAACATGTAACCAGGTAACATGTAACATATAACCAGGTAACATGTAACCAGGTAACATGTAACATATAACCAGGTAACATGTAACCAGGTAACATGTAACATATAACCAGGTAACATGTAACATGTAACCAAATAACATGTAACCATAGTAACATGTAATTAAGTAACATGTAACCACAGTAACCAAGTAACATGTAACCACAGTAACCAGGTAACCACAGTAACATGTAACATGTACTGCTCCAGGATGTGAGGGTATAACAGATCGTCTGATAATATCAGACAGAGCCCACGTGGTAGGAGATCTTCACCAGACAGTGGACGGACTGTACGAGGCTGAGAAACAAGGCAACAGTCTGGGTACTACAAAGAAAGGTAATTGTGTGATTGTGTGAGTGTGTGTGTGTGAGTGTGTGTAATTGTGTGATTGTGTAATTGTGTGAGTGTGTGTGATTGTGTGAGTGTGTGATTGTGTGATTGTGTAATTGTGTAATTGTGTGAGTGTGTGATTGTGTGAGTGTGTGAGTGTGTGTAATTGTGTAATTGTGTAATTGTGTAATTATGTAATTGTGTGAGTGTGTGATTGTGTGTAATTGTGTGATTGTGTAATTGTGTGAGTGTGTAAATGTGTGAGTGTGTGTTATTGTGTGAGTGTTTGATTGTGTAAATGTGTTAAACATTACACAATATTGTCTCCATACGAAAAGGGTATCCTGAATCCTGATATTATGAAATAAAACTAGCCTAAATTGTAATAATATGTTAAGTTCTGAAGAAATGTGCCAAACTAGATTGTTCCTGATTGTTCTAATATCTTATCTAAGATGTATCCCTAGACATTAATTCACTAGGTAGACAGATAAGAGGCAAGTTTGCCCACTCTGACTACAAAATTAGATTATGTTCTTCTTAACAGTATTATGACGTCATAAGATCAACTTACATGATACATCACGTACTGTGACGTAAACACTAAAGTAACCTAGTAACTGTAAACTGAGTAACATGTAACCAGGTAACATGTAACCACAGTAACCAGGTAACATGTAACCACAGTAACCAGGTAACATGTAACCACAGTAACCAGGTAACATGTAACCACAGTAACCAGGTAACATGTAACCAGGTAAGATGTAACCACAGTAACCAGGTAACATGTAACCACAGTAACCAGGTAACATGCAACCAGGTAACATGTAACCACAGTAACCAGGTAACATGTAACCACAGTAACCAGGTAACATGTAACCACAGTAACCAGGTAACATGTAACCACAGTAACCAGGTAACATGTGCAGGTATTGGTCCCACATACTCTACTAAGATGCAGAGAACAGGTATTCGAATGGCCGACCTGCTAGGGGACCCCGCTCTTCTAAAAGAGAAAGTATGCGGAATAGTGCGAGATTACGCGCTCCGTTTTCCCGATCATTCATTCGACTCAGAGGAGGAGTACAGAAGACTTGAGCTGTTTATACCTAGGATTACTCCAATGATAAAGGTTCATTTTATTTAAACTAGAATTGTAAATTGTTTAGTTTTGATATTAATGTCATAAAAGAAAAAGGCTTTTTTTATCTGTTCGAGAATTTTAAATCAGCAGATCTTTTGGCAGGAAATTTTGATTTATCACCACCTGGTAATAAAGACGAGTCAGCTGCAGTAGTAAAATGATAATTATGAAGAACTCCTTTAACTTTTGTATTGTAGCCCAGGACTAGTTGGTGACGTTAGATATTTTGTGCGGTCTGGAATAATAATAATAAAGTTATTAATATTACCTATCTGCACCTGGCTGACTCCTAACTTAAGTTAAATAATTTGAATAATTCCCAACGATACTGCCGGAATTCAAGATATTCTCTATGGATATGTGTCTGTTAGACAGGTGTTACCTCAAATAGGCTAGTCAGAAGACAACAATAAAAACAGATGTGCAAGTAACGCCCAACCCCTATTGTTAACTGTCTACAAGTGACCACTCTACCTTGACACTGTAATTACCAGCTGACTGGATAAAGTAGTTTAAATACAAACAACACTGTTCCTCTCATCACTTCTCATCTACATCTCTCAACATGAAGATATTGTGTCTGATCCCCCTCTCCCTCCTCCTCCTCCTCCTCCCTCTCTCCCACTCCTGTGGTAGAGAGAGATGGTCTGATAATGCCCTTCAGTACAACGCGTTTAACCGCAGTAAGATCCACCTGAGCCCCATGGTAACACTAGTTAAGGACCACTTTACCATGTGCTCCTGGGTTAACAAGATGTTACCGGGTAAGGACAACTTCTGGGCGTTTTACGGGACAGAATCCTACCCTGTGTTTCATATCTCAGATGACCTGAAGAAAGTGGGAGTGTTCAACTCATCAATAGTTCTCAGCAAGACCCCTGACATAACTCTGAACCAGTGGTATCATACCTGTCTCTCCTGGAACGGAGCTAGTGGAGAGTCCAGCCTGTACCTGAACGGAAAACTCATCGGAACAGGCCAGACTTCAGATGGGGTTAAAGTGCCGGGCGACAGTGAACTGTTCCTAAACTGGTGTCCGTACTCGGACGGAGTGTTCTTTGGAGGCGAGCTGTTTAAACTACAGTTCTACAAAGAAGTCCTGAAAGTAGAGCAAGTGGAGAGACTGCACCACCAGGGGATATGTTCAGATGTGGATCAGCTGTATACTGATATCATGACGCTGCCCTGGGAGTACTTCATCCTTCACGAGAAATACAGGTTTCTTATTCTTCAAAATTCTGCAAAATAAGATGCTTCACCTACCACCAGAATTATAAGCTCCTTTCATAATGCATTTTAAAACCAGTTCCAGAAGTAATCACGTGACCCCAATATGATAATCACGTGACCCCACTATAACAATCACCTGACCCCACTATAACAATCACGTGACCCCCAGGTTTAACGTACAGTTAGTGCCAGTAAAGTGCCAGAGTGAACACAGTGCCTGGAACGTGCTGTACAGCGAGAGGTACCTGGGCAACGTTATCTCCATCAAGATGGTGCAGGATCTCAAGAAGAGATGGGAGTTATTGGAGGAGTTCGCTGGTCATCTCATTGATGAGAGTCTAATTGAACACCTCATCCATCACCACGATATTTAGATGCCACGACATTTAGATGCCACGATATTTAGATGCCACGACATTTAGATGCCACGATATTTAGATGTACTGGAACGATGATTCGGAAACATTGTTGAACTAAAGATTTTTTTAAACTTTAAAAGCATAACCTTGTGTTTTATTTTGCTCACGATAGGAAATTTTGAGATCGGAAATTTACGTACTAACACTGTATAGTTCGAAAAATACCTAAAATTAGGTTTGCACTGACGTCGATATAATTATATTATGATCAAGTGTGGAATATAAGGATGTAAAATATATAAACAGGGAGTTTCAAAGGTGTGGCGAGGATTACTTTTTAAAACACCCTTACTTGGACTTAACGGGGATTAAGAAACGAAAGCCGCTAATTTTTCTTATTGATAACATGTCTGTTAATTAAGATAATCAACAAGTTTGTTGATTAAGACAATTAACAGGTTTTTTAATTAAGACAATTAACGTGTTTTAATTAATTAAGATAATAAACATGCTAATTAAATAACGACCCCAGGACACAGTACTGTACATGAACGAGGCACTAAATTCTAATAAGAAGATATTAGTTGAGGGAGCCAATGCAGCTATGTTGGATATTGACTTTGGTACTTACCCTTACGTTACCAGTAGTAACTGTACGGTTGGAGGCGTGTGTACTGGACTCGGCATTCCTCCTACCAAGGTACTTCACTTTCACTTTCACTTTCACTTTCATTTTCACTTTCACTTTCATTTTCAATGTGAGGTTTGATTACTGGACTAGGGATTACAGTTTTGTTATAAAGTTGGCTCATGTAGTTACTACTGTAGTGTGTCTAATAAAAAGTACTTAAAATGAACAAAAGAGTAAAACTTTGCAACTATGAGTCATCTCAACCGCCATTATTAAATAAATTAAATTGTTACTAGTCCTATACTATAATGTTGATAACAGTGTGGGTTGTCTGGTATATTAGCTTTATCAGTGTACTTTAAGGGGGCATACCCCAAAACAGTGGTTTGTGCCGTCCAGACCAAATGACCTCATAGGCAGTTCAGTGACCTTCTAGCGCACCGTTTCCACACAAAAAAAATTATTTTGAGAATTCCCATTTTTGTAATCGAGCATTTCCTGGTTAAGAGTGCAATTTTCGGAAAAAATTATTTTGTGGTTGAGACGCTATAAGTTAATCATTTCTTGCGGTATCGGGTTGAAATTTTGCTCGCCGTTTATTCACATCTATGTCAAGGTGTGTGTAAAATCTTGATATCGTATCTAAAAAGGCTGGTGTGTTATGAATTTTTAAAGTCAAAAAGCTAAAATTGTCCTTTTCAGGCTTATTTTAACAAAAAGTCAGTCAGGGAAGATCGGATTATTTGATGCTTGACATCAAATTGTTCTCTGAATTCTGGCGCAGTTTTTGATGCCCTCAAAAATGTTTTTACTCATTCACCTTCTGATCTATTGGACCTCAAAGCCAAACAACAAATTTAGGCACATTTTTCGTTTTTAATATTTACTGATTTTTCTAAAATTTTGATAGGAATGTGCTAGTGACTCTTTGAAGGGTGCAAAATAACCGCAACTAGCACATTTATATATGAGTTATGAACAACAAAACATCCTAGAATGCTTCCCTTTGAAGTTATGGGAGAAAATGTGATTTTTTGGCTTTGCAGATAAAAAATCACATTTGCTACTTGAAGGGAACTACATAGGTTACACATTGAAGTAACAACTGGTGAGTGTAGGTAAGTAGGTGAGTAACAACTGGTGAGTGTAGGTAAGTAGGTGAGTAACAACTGATGAGTGTCGGTAAGTAGATGAGTAACAACTGGTGAGTGTAGGTAAGTAGGTGAGTAACAACTGGTGAGTGTAGGTAAGTAGGTGAGTAACAACTGATGAGTGTAGGTAAGTAGATGAGTAACAACTGGTGAGTGTAGGTAAGTAGGTGAGTAACAACTGGTGAGTGTAGGTAAGTAGGTGAGTAACAACTGGTGAGTGTAGGTAAGTAGGTGAGTAACAACTCACACCACCTCTTCAGATATCAGATGTGTTAGGAGTAGTTAAAGCTTACACCACACGAGTTGGAGCGGGAACATTCCCCACCGAACTAACTGACGATATAGGTTAACATTCTTTAAATATTTCAAATACCTTAGACTGATAAATTTAATTATTTTATATGTTTTTATCTAATTATTTCTCTTCCCCATTCATCTCATCATATCCAAATATCACAATAAAACTTTCACTTTCACTTTCACATACAATTTCACTTTCAAATTTACTAATCTGCTAATTTCAGGTAACGCAATGGCTGATATTGGACACGAGTACGGAGTAACAACCGGACGTAGACGTAGGTGTGGGTGGCTGGATCTCATGGTGCTCAAATACAGCCACATGGTTAACGGCTTCACAAGGTACTTGTATAATGTACTATAAAATGTATAATGTATAAAATGTATAATGTATAAAATGTATAACTCATACTGATAGTTGGATAATACAGCCACATGGTTATTGGTTAACGGCTTCACTAACTCAGGTACATTATTGTTAAGTTAACAGAAATCACATGATATTAACATAACTCATTACTGTGCCGTTTCTTAATGTATAACTAATCTCCCACTCTCCACAGACTAGCAGTTACAAAGCTGGATATTCTTGACACTTTTAAAGAGCTGAAAGTGTGTATAGGATACAAGTTGGACGGTAAAGATCTCCTCTCTTTCCCAGCTGATCACGCCTTGTTGGAGAGAATTGAACCTGTTTATACAACTATCAAGGTTACAGATTGCCCTCATTATTACCGAATGAGAGCAGTAAAATTTCGGGTTTTGTAAATGGGAATGTATAGTATTAATGATAAAATGTTCAGGGTTGGGACTTTCCACCTGTTGACTGCAGAACAAGTTTATTAACTGAAATAATTAATAATCTAATTAACCAATGTTCAGGGTTGGAACTCCCCGACTGTTGACTGCAGAACATTTGACTCTCTCCCGGATCAAGCTAAGAAATATCTCTCAACTATCGAGGAGTTTCTAGGTGTCAAAAGTAAGTTTCTAATTATTGTCATAATCTCCGAAACGAACTGTCTGATTATTATTATAATACACAGTTCCAATTTTATTATTTAGCATTATATATATATATATATTTCACTGTGATGGAAAGCTGCAAACAGCTGAATAACCGTGAACGATGTTTTCCATAATATATATATTGTTAATATATGTTAATATATGTTAATATATGTTTTAATATATTGTTAATATATTTTCTAAAATAATTAACATCCGATCTGTTTCAGTTGGGTGGGTCGGAGTTGGGCAGTCACGTGACTCAATTATTATCATCTGATGTGTCACGTGATAATACTGATAAGCTCGATAAGGAAGACACTATCCGTGGGAGGGCGCTGCAATTCGTCCCTGTTCTAACCGACAGAACTAATTTATTAATCACCCATCTAAATATCAAAATTAATATCCTTACTTGATTTGTGCCTGTATATTATGTTATCAGACTGTTGATTAACTCATTAAATAACTAATTAATTAATTAAAGTACGCTCATTATTTGAGTTTCTATTATTCATAATTAAGTGATCTGACAAACCTTTCAGTCCATAAATTAATAATTTTTACAGTTTACAGCATCGCACCAATTTTAAGCTTTAGCGATGGGCTGCCTTCAAATGATGCATATTCATAAATTATATTTATTATTATAGTTGTAAGTTCTAGATTTACGTTTGGGTTATTATAACTTGTGTGCATGTTAGGGGATATTAATGTAATTAACCAATTAGCTAATTAGGTTCTACTTATATATTTGACGGGGTTCAATTATTGTAGCTAAGGGTTTTTATCTTCATCTTATATTCGAGTATTTGGTTTTTAGGTTGTAATATATTGTTAAAAGTTCTCATTTCCTTTTTTGTGTGGTTTAATAATAATACGTTTTATGTCGAAGATCGTTTTTACAAAACAAAGTTGTTTCACTTCCTTTTTGTCAATTATGATAGCCTGAAATACAAAATGCGTATTGTAAATGAAATTACAATTGATGTAACCTGTGACAGTGTGGCAGCACTGTTTGTCACACGATTAAATATCATCATCAAGTATCACATTTTATAGCTTATATTTTGAATATCTAAACATTTATGTTTACACATTTTGTTTCGAAGGTTATTGTCTCGCGGTGTAAAAATAAAATGTAAAAGTGAACATACAAATTTCAAATTTATTGAGCTGCACTTGAAGCTGCATTGCAGTAATCTACCTTAGGGACCGTTCACATATTATTGCGTAAATCCCTGAGGGGGGAGGGGGGTTTCCAAACGATTATGCTAGTATAATTGAGACACAATAGCTATGTGCAGAACTGATTACGGAGAAGGGAGGGGGTCACAAATTGTCCAAAAAGTGATTACGTAGTATGTGAACGGTCCCTAAGGTAGATTACTGCAATACAGCTTCAAGCACAGCTCAATAAATTTGAAATTTGTATGTTCACTTTTACATTTTATTTTTACACCGCGAGACAATAACCTTCGAAACAAAATGTGTAAGTACATAAAATGTTTAAATATTCAAAATATAAGCTAGATAAAATGTGATACTTGATGATAATATTTAATCACTGAAAGAAAACAGTAATTAGATCTCTGATTTGTCTGGTAAAATACAAATTGAATGAAATCAGTTTCTGATAGTAACTTTACCAACTGGTATCACAGAAGTAGGAATGAATTGAAGCTACGATCTGAAGTATGTGCCGGAGAGATGACCAATAAAGTAACCTATAGTGAAAAGCTGCTGTAATTAAACGATTACATCTAATTAGTATAATTGGTTAATTGGTAGATAATTAGTTGATATGGGGAGAGTGAAGGAAGCGATGGAAGAGGCTGGTATTACTCCTGGTAAAGTGGGAGCTTGTCTTCTTGTCCATGAGATTATTGGTGAGACTTTCTTTCATTTTATTAATGTTTTCGTTACTTTTGAGTTTTGTTAATGACATGTTTTCGTTACTTCTTTACTTTCGAGTTTGACGTTATAATTTGATATCAATTTCTTACGGATTAAGGTGTAAAGGCTTTTTAAAATCAATGTATGCAAGGGATATTATGGTTAGTAATATTACCCCCTAAAACTTAATCTACTTCAAGTTGAATAAATGCGATATTGGACACTGTTAATTCATGAAATATGATAATAAATCGAGACGCTCTGAATATTATAAATGTGACCGATTACAATTCAAATGTTTGGGATATAAGCGTAGTCATGGCATTTAATGTAGCATGATAACAATGCTAATATTTTGAAATTAAATATCCCTCAGAAGGTAAAAGTATTATAAAATAAATCCATATAATTAAATCACAACTAAGAAACGTTATATTCGGCAGGTATTACAGTTATGGTTGGCTCGTGGGCTGTGTGTTACAAACTTTTAAAACATAACAGCGCTAGACGAACTTTGGAGAGATTATCACAACATCGCACTTACAGTACCGGCAAACTGTGGGTAACATGTAACTACTTGTTCATTATTTAAATCTTAACAAACGTGTTCATTAATTAAATCTTGATAAAAGTGTTCATTAATTAAATCTTAATAAACGTGTTTATCAATTAAATCTTAATAAACATGTTTATTAACTGTAAGTTTAATAAACATGTTTATTAATTAAATCTTGATAAACATGTTTATTAATTGTAAGTTTAATAAACATGTTTATTAATTGTAAGCTTAATAATAATCTAATCAGGTGGGTAGAGAAGAGGTTCAGTGCAATTACCAGACATTCCACACAACTAAACACAGAACACTTCATTATAGCAGGCGCTATGTCCACAGTCCTTAGAAAGATTTCTTCTCCGGTTTTAGTTCCCGGTAAAATACTTCTCTCTGTCTCAGCGGTTAGGTATTTGTATTCTTCAAAAGAGTTGGAGATTAGGTGAGATTCAAGAGATAATTTATAGAGAGTAAGTATTCTTCAGATATAATCTAGATGATTTTGTGCTGACGAGTTAACTAAATAACTGAAACAATGTAAAACGGAGAGTTGGGCTATGAACGATTTTCTGAACACTTCCTGAATATTAGAGCCTTCATTCCTGAAATCAGCTGATAAATTTATATATTATTAGTATCTATAATTATTTATCTATGATATGAGATAATAATATGATGACTTGCTTTGAATATGTTGACTTTTGAGGTAGAGACCCTTTTTATAATTTATTTTATTTGACTTATCAGATAATGATTATCTGAGATAATATTATCTGTTCGAGATAATTCGAAAGCAGAAACTATTTTAACTGCTCCTGATATGACTTGATAATTTATTTCATAATTTGTGATAATAATGTGATAATAACTCATCGATCAAGCAACTGGGAATAAACGCCAGAGTAGTGACACAGGCGGGGAAAGCTGTCAGGAGCATCATCAGCACACCATCTAAAGACGAGATATGCGAGTGCGAACTCTGCAAGGCAGATCTCAACTGTACCACCCGACACTACGTGTACAAAGCAAAATGTAAGAAATGCGGAGATCTGTACATAGGAGCTTCAAGACGACCTATTAGAGGTCGAATCTACGAACACGAGTCTAGCTTCCGACTCAACAACAGCAGGACCACACTAGGATACCACGCTGCTGAACTACACTCCCATATCGGGAAAAAGAGACTTAGCAAAATTCTTCGAAAACTACGAATTTAGCATATCAGAACAATGTAAGGATACCTTAGACACCTTTATAAGAGAAGGCTTAGCAATAGAACACACTAAACCGAAAATCAATAACATGTGTGGAAACGGTTTTACAGACTAATTTCTAGTACACTTTTACTACGCTGATCTGAGGGTTGTAAACTTTCTCTGTTGTGATTTTTTCTTATTGGTAACCCGATTTTTTCTCGCATGGATGTGTACACCCCTTTTCTATAAATTTTGCTGAAATTTTCTTCCTTATGGTAACCCTGATCTTTGTCGCATGTATGTTTACTTTCCTAACCCAATTACCACACTCTCTGGTTCAGAGATCAAACCTCCCCCTTTTCAGTGTAACCTTGATAAAGTCCAATGCGTGACGAAAATTTGGTTTTACAGTTTACTTAGTTCCTTGTTTCACTTTATTCGCAGTTTTATTTCGGGAGACGTGAAGTCTAAAATGAAAGCTAAATTCGATAATAATGTGGAATTCTATTTTGATTGAACTAACAACAAGAACAGACACCTAATAGACTACTCGCTAAATGGCCTGTATATATAATTGTAGCTGCAGTATATATTATTGTAGCTGCAGTATATATTATTGTAGCTGCAGTATATATTATTGTAGCTGCAGTATATATTATTGTAGCTGCAGTATATATTATTGTAGCTGCAGTATATATTATTGTAGCTGCAGTATATATTATTGTAGCTGCAGTATATATTATTGTAGCTGCAGTATATATTATTGTAGCTGCAGTATATATTATTGTAGCTGCAGTATATATTATTGTAGCTGCAGTATATATTATTGTAGCTGCAGTATATATTATTGTAGCTGCAGTATATATTATTGTAGCTGCAGTATATATTATTGTAGCTGCAGTATATATTATTGTAGCTGCAGTATATATTATTGTAGCTGCAGTATATATTATTGTAGCTGCAGTATATATTATTGTAGCTGCAGTATATATTATTGTAGCTGCAGTATATATTATTGTAGCTGCAGTATATATTATTGTAGCTGCAGTATATAGTATTGTAGCTGCAGTATATATTATTGTAGCTGCAGTATATATTATTGTAGCTGCAGTATATATTATTGTAGCTGCAGTATGCTGAGTGCTGACAGCCTGTATCCAGCTGTATAACAGCACATTACACACCGTACACCTTGTATTTCAAATATATTGCTGTAAATACGGCGTGCTATTGTACATTGCTTGGAGCATTTCGTAGTACTCACTACGCGGTGGTATGTATCTACCTCCGCAAGCATTCCAAACATATCACACGTACTATAGATTGTATAGTACGTGTGATATGTTGGAATGCTTGCGGAGGTAGATAGATAGGAGCGTGTGAATAGTGACTTTATCGAAATTCCGATATTTTGTGGCTGTTTACCGTACAATGACAGATATTTGTTACTTCCGCCATTTTCGAATTAACTTAGTGAAAATTGAGGCAAATACATCCTACACATTAAAGTTTGTACCAGCAGCACGTTATGTGCTATTATCACCACATCAACACCAAACTTATTACATCTCAATTATTTCCTTGCTTTCTAGATGTTGTCTTCTACTGGAATCCTCTTGGATCAAATTAAGGATTGAGAGATCCTGTCAAAAGTTTTTAGCGGACATAAAGGATGGTCCTAAGATTTTGTTTGGGTTACGTTGCGCGCCGTGACAGAAACATGTTCATACATCACTGTTATTAAACTGATCACGCGAGTTTTAATGCGCGCAAGAGTGCAAATTGTAGCTCGCTTCCGTTACCATGTGTACACCTCTAATTCTGCGGTATTAATCGCTATTTATATCATTTTGTAAGGCTCATAGCAGCTCAATATAGGTTCACAAAATTCACTATTTATTTTCGATATACAATCACATCTGTGTCACATTAAATTAGAATGCTGATCACCATTTCTTACCTATCCTTTCGTATCACTTATATGTTTTAAATATCCCCCTCCAGATTTCTTACCTATATACCGATAGAAAGTATGGCTCTCAAAGTTTCCCGCGTCATCAGACGGTTTGTTCACTACGGACCACTCCTGGCAACTTTCATCATCGTGCTGGTGACCATCATGACCCTGACTTGCATCATGGTATCCACTCCTATCACAAGTTTTAAACTTCCTAACGGCAGACCATCCTGGCAACATGTTAGTTTTGTGACTTCAGTTTCTGTTTGGGCACAAACTTTTAGATTATTTAACAACAAAGCATGTTTATCATTTCATTACAAGTCATTGGCGAATTTTCGACATAGTCTCAATCATGTTAGACGGTGTTTCAGTACACCATTAGGAGTGTTTCAGTGCACCATTTATTGGTTCTAATCTTTAAAGCTCTATTTAAATCCTCTGACTAATCCTCATTCTCCTCAGCATATGACATTGGGCTCCTTCATAAACATGACGGTGTTCCTGTGTTTTGCGATACTAACATCTTTCCACTTCTTGGCGTGTATGATACATGGTCCTGGATATGTAAAGAATAACTGGAAACCTGAGGTTAAGGTTAGTTTGAGGGGGATTACATTTTAGTGGACGATTCAATCGAAATATGTGCATATTTGCAATTTGCATTGTATTAGTATGTTTTCACTGAATATTTGTACTGTAATACGTTTATTGTATGGAAACAAATTTGCAATGACCATGATAAAAATGAATATTTTATGTAAATTTATAAAAGCAATGGACTCGTTCAGGATATAGAAAGTAAACTGCAGTTTTGCCAAGAATGTGAGGGGTTCAAGTGTCCGAGGTCTCATCACTGTAGGAAATGTAAAAGGTAAATCTCCTGGAAAATTATTAGCTAACATCATCCCTAGCTGAAGACGATTTACACATGTATTTTGAAAGCTCCTGCTAAAACAAACTTTTCGTATCTCTTACATGTTTTAAAACAAATCCCCCTCCAAGTTATAAGCTGTAACGTTTTCTTTTTAAGTTTTGTACATTTGCACAATGCTTTTACGAATTACCCGGGTGTCTACTGTCTATCAGTTTATATCACGTGACATGAATTTCAGGTGTGTTAAGAGAATGGACCACCATTGTCCGTGGATAAATGCCTGTGTTGGCCACAAGAACCACGCCCACTTCATCAGATTCCTTTTCTACGCAGCTTCTGGCTGTTTTTATGGGGGCACCAATCTAGCAGCGACTGTTGTGAAGATTATATTTTACGTGAGTAGAATAGAAATAGAAATGGTCACATTATTATCTATGATTTGAGGCTGCTTTGGGAGTTGGCTGCTTTTATTATTAAAATGAAATTTAAAAGTTTGCTAATAAATTTTCATAAAATCGTTCATTATCAACCGATTAATAACTATTAATTATTTTCAGGGCAGCAAAAATTTCATCATAGCTTACTACTTCAACAGCTTGCCAAAGTTTGTAATACTGGTATTTTCCTGCGGAATAGCTTATGGAGTATCCCTAGCTGTCGGATTCCTTCTTGTTATGCAGGTTTAGCATTTAGTTAATCAATTAGCTGTCGGATTCCTTCTTGTTATACAGGTTTAGCATTTAGTTAATCAATTATCATATTGATAATAACAATAATTGATAATATTAATTATAATAATAATTATTATATTATATAATTGTTTGTGTTACAGAGAGTAATGTTGTAATTTTGAATCATATGTTTGTTTCAAGTTGGTTAACGTTTATTATATTGCTTATTAATGTACTGTTTTCAGTTACGGGACATATCTAAGAACACTACTAGTATAGAATCATGGATCATCAGAAAGGTACTTTATGTTTATCTCATTTATACTTGTTTCAGGTTCAAAATCCGATAAAAAGCATTTAACCACTTGTAGATATCATTCATTAAAATAATTAATAGACAATATGATTGTTGACATGTTGATATGTTGATATGTTGATATGTTGATATGTTGATATGTTGATATGTTGATATAATGTTGATATTTCAGGCTGAATGGAGACACAGTCACCTAGGAACCACTTTTACTTACCCATACCACCTTGGGTCTAGGTGGAATAATCTGACACAAGTCATCAACATGTCCAACTTTGCTAAGGTACGACATGGGCTATTTAGCCACCAGACTCTTGAGTTTTAAATGTTTTTCATTTATTTGTCTGTTCAACCAGTATGGGTATTGTAATACTAACATTGTGTTCAACTACTTATTAAGTTAAGACTTATCGTGATAATTTAATGTTTAATAAAGAGTTGCGCTGTAGCCTAACAGAGTGATTTACATTACAACTACACTAGTTACCATGACAACTACACGGGTTACCATGACAACTACACTTATCGTGATAATGTTTAATAAAGAGTATTGATGCGATGTAACCTAACAGAGTGATTTACATGCTGATCGAAACAACTTGCTTGTTTCTCGTGTTCTTATAATATCCACCATGTTAGATCCTCTGCAAAGTTATTTTAACAGGGTGACGGCTACACGTGGCCAGTGGTTCCGGGAACAGATCAGTACACTTTTACAGAGGAGCAGATACAACAGAAACTACTTAAACGACAACGTATGGTTAGTACCCCCCCCCCCCCTTAGTAGTTAGTAGTTAGTACCCCCCCCCCCCCCCCCCCCCCCCCCTTAGTAGTTAGTACTGTAGCTGTTGAAGCGAGATTTTTATGTTTAATATTGTGACACGATTGACCGAGTTAAATAAACAAATAATTAATTCACCGTCCCGTGTAACTAATAATAAACAAATTAAGTACATAACTTTCAGGTAGATCATGTGATCACAGGGCCTTACGTCACCAACTGGTTCTCTCGCCTAACCCTCGCAAACCCTCTCCTCTTTTGCGTGTGTAACGGACTGGACGAACAGTATATAGCTGTTAACAAGGGAGACAAGGTCCTCGTATCGCGCTGGCGCAAGTAAGTTATCTACCCGTCACTGACCGTCAGTTAACCGGCTACTAACCGTCCGTTAACCGGCTACTAACCATTAGTTAACCAGCTACTAACCGTCAGTTAACCGGCTACTAACCGTCCGTTAACCGGCTACTAACCATTAGTTAACCGGCTACTAGCCATTAGTTAACCGGCTACTAACCGTCAGTTAACCGGCTACTAACCGTTAGTTAACCGGCTACTAGCCATTAGTTAACCGGCTACTAACCGTCAGTTAACCGTCAGTTAACCGGTCTCTAACCTTTGTTGCAAACAGAGCTAGAGTTGTCATATTATTAGTTCTCTGCCTTTACTACTCTACTAGCTAAAGATGATAATGGTTCAGTTGTGCTTACAAATACATGACACTATACAATATTTTATAATGTATAGCTAAACTGTCCATAAAAATCTAAACGAATTGTAAGAAATGTTTTAGATCTGATGGAATTAATAAATAATCTTTATTTTCATTGGTTTTTAACTGCAGGCGTTGGTTGTATGGTTGTATAAAGAGAAAGCTAAAAAATAAGGATGGGAAACTAGTCGGTGAGTCTTAGAATTATTCCTTATTTTATTTTATTTTAGCATATTTTTGACGTTTTTCTTTTTATTGTTTGCTTCACATTTATATAAAAGAATAAAAGGTTAAAGCATATTGAAACGGTGAAGGAAAAGTTAACCATTGAAATACTGATTTATTGAAATACCTTATAATATATATTTAATTATGTATTTGTAGAGAAAGAGATTGGAGGATGGTTTCCCAGAATTTGCGCTATGGAAACAGCCGAACAGACACAAAAGAAAGTGGAATAATATAATAAGGAGTACATTATAAGGAGAACATTATTTAGATTAAGAGTTTCAAGTACATTTTTCCTCAAAATAGTCAATATCAGATATGAATACTGGGACTCATTTTGATTCTTTGATATACATGGCGTGTTCATTTATACTTATAGTGAGTTACTATTGCAGATATTTAATCGTCAAAAATTTCCATGTTTTGTGAACGTGTCACAAGATTATTGTTCTGGTGATTAACAATATGCTATTTTCTGCTGCCATTAATTTTACGGAACTACGCGTGACAATTTAGAACTATACTTTTCAATTAATGTTTTTGACAATGGTAAAAAGTTTAATTAAAAGGCTTAATTCATTTCAGAGGGTATTTGTTCGTGTCAGATTTCAGAATATTGTTAATTAGAATATCAATAATTAATTAATAATTATTAATGATTATTGGTAATTTGGGGTGTTTGTTTATTTAAAGTTTTTGGTTACCTCTTTCATATTTCTATGTTATTATTGTATGTATATTTGAAAACTTCTTCAAACGCTGCTTATCGTGATGTATTGTAATTGTACACGTTCGGTTCGGTGAAATATGGTCTAGATCATAGATGAACAGTATATACATTATACGTGAGAGGAGCGAGCTAGGTAGCTTTACTGTCACCAAGATGTAAATCAGATCGAACGAGAAATTAGATCGAACCAGTTCGATCTAGGAATTAGATCGAACGCTGGCGCGAGATACATATACAAATACATTGAAAGCCGCGCCGCGCGTTCGATCTAATTCCTAGATCGAACTGGTTCGATCTGATTTACATCTTGGTGACAGGTACGTGTTGATTGACAATATATAAACCCATCGAGATCGTTGTAGCGCGATGCACTACTAGTACTGGGCCGCGCATCCAATGATGCTTCTCGCTAGATCGGCGAGATGCACCACTGGGCCGGCCTCACCGAGCTGTGAGTCACTCACTGAGTGTGATTGTGAAGGATGGACATCGTGAATCAATCGAGATCGTTGCTCTGCTGCGATGCGAAGCAAGAATGATAGTTCGCGTCGAAGTATCGACGATAAATGGTCGGACAAATTGAGATACCATTTTAAAAGATGAATTAGTTAAATTGAAACGGTTACAAAATCTTAAATATTATCTCCTTTATCATCAACAAATTTTTGGATCCCATATTACAATATTACGTCATGTCATTGTCATATAAATTTATTTTTTCCTGCGAAAAAAAAATATTTATAGATCCATTGCATCAGAAGATTTATGTAACATATAATTATAAAGTCTTGTTCATCTACCCTTACTAAGTAGCCAGCAAGGTTGCGTGAAATAAAAAAGACCAGCTATTAAATTATAAAAGGAAAATAGGATAGCATAAAGTTCAGAGTTCCCTGTACATCAATAAATAAACAGTAATTACATCGCCCCGAGAGAGTGGCAAGGTGCGGCTAAGAAGAAGTCACGTGACAGCTCAAGAAGATGGTTGTTAGGTCACGTGACAGCTCAAGAAGATTGTTGTTAGGTCACGTGACAGCTCAAGAAGATTGTTGTTAGGTCACGTGACAGCTCAAGAAGATGGTTGTTAGGTCACGTGACAGCTCAAGAAGATGGTTGTTAGGTCACGTGACAGCTCAAGAAGACGGTTGTTAGGTCACGTGACAGCTCAAGAAGACGGTTGTTAGGTCACGTGACAGCTCAAGAAGATGGTTGTTAGGTCACGTGACAGCTCAAGAAGATGGTTGTTAGGTCACGTGACAGCTCAAGAAGACGGTTGTTAGGTCACGTGACAGCTCAAGAAGATGGTTGTTAGGTCACGTGACAGCTCAAGAAGATGGTTGTTAGGTCACGTGACAGCTCAAGAAGATGGTTGTTAGGTCACGTGACAGCTCAAGAAGACGGTTGTTAGGTCACGTGACAGCTCAAGAAGACGGTTGTTAGGTCACGTGACAGCTCAAGAAGATGGTTGTTAGGTCACGTGACAGCTCAAGAAGATGGTTGTTAGGTCACGTGACAGCTCAAGAAGACGGTTGTTAGGTCACGTGACAGCTCAAGAAGATGGTTGTTAGGTCACGTGACAGCTCAAGAAGATGGTTGTTAGGTCACGTGACAGCTCAAGAAGACGGTTCTTGAGGAGCAGTGTAAACGTAGTCCCCAGGATTACTCTGAATTAGTCCCCAGTGTTTAGCGGCTGCCATACAGTTGTTCAGAAGATCCTTCATCACACCCCCTTGCGTGCCCATTCCCTGAAAAGGAGGGAAAATATGGTCATCTGTCACATGTTACGTGTCATTTTATATAGTCAGATTTTAAGCAACATAACTAAATAATAAGGATATTACATAATATAATATTACAAAATATAATATGTATATAATATGTATAATATGTATAATATGTGTATGATATGTAATGATAATAATGGATAATAAAGGAGCACGAACCATCTGCAGTGCAAGTAGACACTCGAATATCTGAGTGTTAATGATCTTTTCAGCTATTTCTTTGTCGGCAGCTAACATGTTTTGAAGTATAACCAGTAGTCTGTGTCGAATACCTAAAATATTGCACTGTAATATTGCAGTGAAATGTTGGGGGGGGGGGGGGGGGGGCGTCAACCTCATAAATATACATAAATAAATACCTATACCTAGGTATTTATGAGGTTGATTTCCCCCCCCCCCCCCCAATACTGCAGTGTAATGTTGCAGTGTAATGTTGCAGTGTAATGTTGCAGTGTAACGTTGCAGTGTAACGTTGAAGTGTAACGTTGAAGTGTAACGTTGCAGTGGTTTAGCAAAGAAAGAAAATGCTCGTTTAAACTGTATTGAATACAAGTACAAGTACAAATATAAACTTGTAGGTTCATAACCTACCAAGACGCGCGCCGAGTTTGACACCAGTTAAATAAAAACCAACCTTGATCCTCAAGAAGAACAGGATTCCTTCTTGTTATACAGGTTTAGCATTTAGTTAATCAATTATCATATTGATAATAACAATAATTGATAATATTAATTATAATAATAATTATTATATTATATAATTGTTTGTGTTACAGAGAGTAATGTTGTAATTTTGAATCATATGTTTGTTTCAAGTTGGTTAACGTTTATTATATTGCTTATTAATGTACTGTTTTCAGTTACGGGACATATCTAAGAACACTACTAGTATAGAATCATGGATTATCAGAAAGGTACTTTATGTTTATCTCATTTATACTTGTTTCAGGTTCAAAATCCGATAAAAAGCATTTAACCACTTGTAGATATCATTCATTAAAATAATTAATAGACAATATGATTGTTGACATGTTGATATGTTGATATGTTGATATGTTGATATGTTGATATAATGTTGATATTTCAGGCTGAATGGAGACACAGTCACCTAGGAACCACTTTTACTTACCCATACCACCTTGGGTCTAGGTGGAATAATCTGACACAAGTCATCAACATGTCCAACTTTGCTAAGGTACGACATGGGCTATTTAGCCACCAGACTCTTCAGTTTTAACTGTTTTTCATTTATTCGTCTGTTCAACCAGTATGGGTATTGTAATACCTTACAAGACATTTTTATAACGTACGAAATGCGACGGTTTTCCCGAAATTTCGCCATATTTTCGGACCGCCAAAATTTCGGTCGTCGTAATAGAATCCGTCGCATTATTTTTAGCTTATTCCAATAATTGTGGCTTCATCGATTCATTTTGTTCTTGAAAAGTTAGTGATATGATGGTGGGACAAATAAACACAATATTCCATGATGAATTTAATGTCAAGTTATACGTTTTAAATTTACAATAAATTACATTTATGTGCTAACATAAACTTCTTATAGACTAAGTCAAGATAAACAATTTAATACCAAACTCAATAAGTGAAACTGAAAGATTCGAGCCGGACCCCTTAGAGAAAGATGAAGAAATCGATTTATAAGTTTCATTTTGTTTCAACATGATTTTACCGATTTTTAGAAAATTTTGAATTTCCTTTGTGTCAGAAAACAAAATGATGAAAAATACCCTTATTTTCTGTGACGTCCGAAATGTGACGGTTTTTGTTCAATTTCGCCATATTTTCGGACCGCCAAAATTTCGGTCGTCGCACATTGGTCCGCCACAAAAATGTCTTGTAAGGTACTCACATTGTGTTCAACCACTTACTAAGTTAAGACTTATCGTGATAATTTAATGTTTAATTAAGAGTTGCGCTGTAGCCTAACAGTAGACTGACCTGAATTTTCACTTTTTCGTCCAATCATCTTGGAAAGTTTTTTGTACATCCCCATAGACGTAAATAGTAACCAAAAAAATTATTTTTGAAAAATTCGGAAATTTAGGTGTTCCCCAAGCCGTTTCCATGACAACCGCGCTCGCGAACCTCAGAAATCTGGAAAAATTCGATATCTCAGGACCCATTGCACCTACAGAGCTAAAGTTAGGCTTAAAAGATGCGGAATCAGCACATTTATATGAGACTTATTAATAAACATATAGCCTAAAGTGCTCACTTTCGTCAAAAATTGCAAAAAACACATTTTTTGTACATTTCCATGGCAACCGCGCCCTAAAATTTGGATGTGCATCTCTATTTTTCAAACTATGAACAGCTCAGAACTACAGGGGGATAACTACAGGGGGAGAACTAGAGGGGAGAGAACAGCTCAGTACTACACCTGAGGAAGAACTACAGGAGTAGAGAGAGAACAGCTCAGAATTACAGGGGGGGGGGGGAGAACTACAGGGGAGAGAACAGCTCAGAAGAACTACAAGGGGAGAACAGCTCAGAACTACAGGAGGGAGAACTACAGGGGGAGAACAGCTCAGAACTACAGGAGGGAGAACTACAGGGGGAGAACGGCTCAGAACTACAGGGGGAGAACAGCTCAGAACTACAGGGTGGGAGAATTACAGGGTAGAGAACAGCTCAGAACTACAGGGGGAGAACAGCTCAGAAATACAGGGTGGGAGAACTACAGGGGGAGAACAGCTCAGAACTACAGGAGGGAGAACTACAGGAGGAGAACAGCTCAGAACTACAGGAGGGAGAACTACAGGGGGAGAACGGCTCAGAACTACAGGAGGGAGAACTACAGGGGAGAGAACAGCTCAGAACTACAGGGGGAGAACAGCTCAGAACTACAGGCCAGGGTGGGAGAATTACAGGGTAGAGAACAGCTCAGAACTACAGGAGGGAGAACTACAGGGGGAGAACAGCTCAGAACTACAGGGTGGGAGAACTACAGGGGGAGAACAGCTCAGAACTACAGGAGGGAGAACTACAGGGGGAGAACAGCTCAGAACTACAGGAGGGAGAACTACAGGGGGAGAACAGCTCAGAACTACAGGAGGGAGAACTACAGGGGGAGAACAGCTCAGAACTACAGGAGGGAGAACTACAGGGGGAGAACAGCTCAGAACTACAGGGGGAGAACAGCAGGGGGAGAACGGCTCAGAACTACAGGAGGGAGAACTACAGGGGGAGAACGGCTCAGAACTACAGGAGGGAGAACTACAGGGGAGAGAACAGCTCAGAACTACAGGAGGGAGAACTACAGGGGGAGAACGGCTCAGAACTACAGGAGGGAGAACTACAGGGGAGAGAACAGCTCAGAACTACAGGGGGAGAACAGCTCAGAACTACAGGGTGGGAGAACTACAGGGGAGAGAACAGCTCAGAACTACAGGAGGGAGAACTATAGGGGCAGAACAGCTCAGAACTACAGGGGGAGAACAGCTCAAAAATACAGGAGGGAGAACTACAGGGGGAGAACAGCTCAGAACTACAGGGTGGGAGAACTACAGGGGAGAGAACAGCTCAGAACTACAGGGGGAGAACAGCTCAGAACTACAGGGGGAGAACAGCTCAGAACTACAGGGTGGGAGAACTACAGGGGGAGAACAGCTCAGAACTACAGGAGAGAGAACAGCTCAGAACTACAGGGGGAGAACAGCTCAGAACTACAGGGTGAGAGAACTACAGGGTAGAGAACAGCTCAGAACTACAGGGGGAGAACAGCTCAGAACTACAGGGTGGGAGAACTACAGGGAGAGAACAGCTCAGAACTACAGGAGGGAGAATTACAGGGTAGAGAACAGCTCAGAACTACAGGGGGAGAACAGCTCAGAAATACAGGGTGGGAGAACTACAGGGGGAGAACGGCTCAGAAATACAGGGGGGAGAACTACAGGGGGAGAACAGCTCAGAACTACAGGGTGGGAGAACTACAGGGGAGAGAACAGCTCAGAACTACAGGAGGGAGAACTATAGGGGCAGAACAGCTCAGAACTACAGGGTGGGATAACTACAGGGGGAGAACAGCTCAGAGGAACTACAGGGGAGAGAACAGCTCAGAAGAACAACGGGGGAGAGAACAGCTCAGAAGAACTACAAGGGAGAACAGCTCAGAACTACAGGGGAAGAACAGCTCAGAACTACAGGAGGAAGAACTACAGGGGGAGAACAGCTCAGAACTACAGGGGGAGCACTACAGCGGAGAGAACAGCTCAGAAGTACAGGAGGGAGATATACGGGGGAGGGGGGAACTACAGGGGGAACAGCTCAGAACTACAGGGGGAGAACTACAGGGGGAAGAACAGCTCAGAACTACAGGGGGGAACTACAGGGGAGGGGGAGAACTACATGGGGGAACAGCTCAGAAGAAACTACAGGGAGGGGGGGAGAATAGCTCAAAAGAACTACATGGGGAGAGAACAGCTCAGAACTACAGGAGGGAGAACTACAGGGGGAGAACAGCTCAGAACTACAGGGGGAGCACTACAGGGGATAGAACAGCTCAGAACTACAGGGAGGGAGAACTATAGGGGAGGGGTAACTACAGGGGGAACAGCTCAGAATTTCATGGGGGAACAGCTCAGAAGAAACTACAGGGAGGGGGGAGAATAGCTCAAAAGAAATACAGGGGGAGAACAGCTCAAAAGAACTACATGGAGAGAGAACAGCTCAGAACTACAGGGGGTGAATTACAGGGGGAGCAGCTCAGAAGTACTATAGGGGAGAATTACAGGGGAGAGAACAGCTCAGAACTACAGGGAGAGAACAGCTCAGAACTACAGGAGGGAGAACTACAGAGGAGGGGGAGAACTACATGGGGGAACAGCTCAGAATTATGTAGTTCTAAGCTGTTCTCCCTCCTGTAGTTCTTCCTCAGGTGTAGTACTGAGCTGTTCTCTCCCCTCTAGTTCTCCCCCTGTAGTTATCCCCCTGTAGTTCTGAGCTGTTCATAGTTTGACTGAAAAATAGAGATGCACATCCAAATTTTAGGGCGCGGTTGCCATGGAAATGTACAAAAAATGTGTTTTTTGCAATTTTTGACGAAAGTGAGCACTTTAGGCTATATGTTTATTAATAAGTCTCATATAAATGTGCTGATTCCGCATCTTTTAAGCCTAACTTTAGCTCTGTAGGTGCAATGGGTCCTGAGATATCGAATTTTTCCAGATTTCTGAGGTTCGCGAGCGCGGTTGTCATGGAAACGGCTTGGGGAACCCCTAAATTTCCGAATTTTTCAAAAATAATTTTTTTGGTTACTATTTACGTCTATGGGGATGTACAAAAAACTTTCCAAGATGATTGGACGAAAAAGTGAAAATTCAGGTCAGTCTACCTGAGTCATTTACATGGCAAATACACTAAGTGCCATGACAACTATAACACTAGTTACCATGACAACTACACTAGTTACCATGACAACTATAACACTAGTTACCATGACAACTACACTAGTTACCATGACAACTACACTAGTTACCATGACAACTATAACACTAGTTACCATGACAACTACACTAGTTACCATGACAACTATAACACTAGTTACCATGACAACTACACTAGTTACCATGACAACTACACTGTTTACCATGACAACTACACTAGTTACCATGACAACTACACTGGTTACCATGACAACTACACTGGTTACCATGACAACTACACTTATCGTGACAACTACACTTATCGTGATAATGTTTAATAAAGAGTATTGATGCACTGTAGAGTGTAGCCTAACAGAGTGATTTACATGCTGATCGAAACAACTTGCTTGTTTCTCGTGTTCTTATAATGTCTAGCACGTTTGATCCTCTGCAAAGTTATTTTAACAGGGTGACGGTTACACGTGGCCAGTGGTTCCGGGAACAGATCAGTACACTTTCACAGAGGAGCAGATACAACAGAAACTACTTAAACGACAACGTATGGTTAGTACCCCCCCCCCCCCCCCCTTAGTAGTTAGTACCCCCCCCCCCCTTAGTAGTTAGTACCCCCCCCCCCCCCCCCCCTTAGTAGTTAGTACCCCCCCCCCCCCCCCCTTAGTAGTTAGTACTGTAGCTGTTGAAGCGAGATTTTTATGTTTAATATTGTGACACGATTGACCGAGTTAAATAAACAAATAATTAATTCACCGTCCCGTGTAACTAATAATAAACAAATTAAGTACATAACTTTCAGGTAGATCATGTGATCACAGGGCCCTACGTCACCAACTGGTTCTCTCGCCTAACCCTCGCAAACCCTCTCCTCTTTTGCGTGTGTAACGGACTGGACGAACAGTATATAGCTGTTAACAAGGGAGACAAGGTCCTCGTATCGCGCTGGCGCAAGTAAGTTATCTACCGGTCACTGACCGTCAGTTAACCGGCTACTAACCGTCCGTTAACCGGCTACTAACCATTAGTTAACCAGCTACTAACCGTCAGTTAACCGGCTACTAACCATTAGTTAACCAGCTACTAACCGTCAGTTAACCGGCTACTAACCGTCCGTTAACCGGCTACTAACCATTAGTTAACCGGCTACTAGCCATTAGTTAACCGGCTACTAACCGTCAGTTAACCGGCTACTAACCGTCCGTTAACCGGCTACTAACCATTAGTTAACCGGCTACTAACCATTAGTTAACCGGCTACTAGCCATTAGTTAACCAGCTACTAACCGTCAGTTAACCGGCTACTAACCATTAGTTAACCGGCTACTAACCATTAGTTAACCGGCTACTAACCGTCCGTTAACCGGCTACTAACCATTAGTTAACCAGCTACTAACCGTCAGTTAACCGGCTACTAGCCATTAGTTAATCGGCTACTAACCGTCAGTTAACCGGCTACTAACCGTCAGTTAACCGTCAGTTAACCGGTCTCTAACCTTTGTTGCAAACAGAGATAGAGTTGTCATATTATTAGTTCTCTGCCTTTACTACTCTACTAGCTAAAGATGATAATGGTTCAGTTGTGCTTACAAATACATGACACTATACAATATTTTATAATGTATAGCTAAACTGTCCATAAAAATCTAAACGAATTGTAAGAAATGTTTTAGATCTGATGGAATTAATAAATAATCTTTATTTTCATTGGTTTTTAACTGCAGGCGTTGGTTGTATGGTTGTATAAAGAGAAAGCTAAAAAATAAGGATGGGAAACTAGTCGGTGAGTCTTAGAATTATTCCTTATTTTATTTTATTTTAGCATATTTTTGACGTTTTTCTTTTTATTGTTTGCTTCACATTTATATAAAAGAATAAAAGGTTAAAGCATATTGAAACGGTGAAGGAAAAGTTAACCATTGAAATACTGATTTATTGAAATACCTTATAATATATATTTAATTATGTATTTGTAGAGAAAGAGATTGGAGGATGGTTTCCCAGAATTTGCGCTATGGAAACAGCCGAACAGACACAAAAGAAAGTGGAATAATATAATAAGGAGTACATTATAAGGAGAACATTATTTAGATTAAGAGTTTCAAGTACATTTTTCCTCAAAATAGTCAATATCAGATATGAATACTGGGACTCATTTTGATTCTTTAATATACATGGCGTGTTCATTTATACTTATAGTGAGTTACTATTGCAGATATTTAATCGTCAAAAATTTCCATGTTTTGTGAACGTGTCACAAGATTATTGTTCTGGTGATTAACAATATGCTATTTTCTGCTGCCATTAATTTTACGGAACTACGCGTGACAATTTAGAACTATACTTTTTAATTAATGTTTTTGACAATGGTAAAAAGTTTAATTAAAAGGCTTAATTCATTTCAGAGGGTATTTGTTCGTGTCAGATTTCAGAATATTGTTAATTAGAATATCAATAATTAATTAATAATTATTAATGATTATTGGTAATTTGGGGTGTTTGTTTATTTAAAGTTTTTGGTTACCTCTTTCATATTTCTATGTTATTATTGTATGTATATTTGAAAACTTCTTCAAACGCTGCTTATCGTGATGTATTGTATTTGTACACGTTCGGTTCGGTGAAATATGGTCTAGATCATAGATGGACAGTATATACATTATACGTGAGAGGAGCGAGCTAGGTAGCTTTACTGTCACCAAGATGTAAATCAGATCGAACGAGAAATTAGATCGAACCAGTTCGATCTAGGAATTAGATCGAACGCTGGCGCGAGATACATATACAAATACATTGAAAGCCGCGCCGCGCGTTCGATCTAATTCCTAGATCGAACTGGTTCGATCTAATTTCTCGTTCGATCTGATTTACATCTTGGTGACAGGTACGTGTTGATTGACAATATATAAACCCATCGAGATCGTTGTAGCGCGATGCACTACTAGTACTGGGCCGCGCATCCAATGATGCTTCTCGCTAGATCGGCGAGATGCACCACTGGGCCGGCCTCACCGAGCTGTGAGTCACTCACTGAGTGTGATTGTGAAGGATGGACATCGTGAATCAATCGAGATCGTTGCTCTGCTGCGATGCGAAGCAAGAATGATAGTTCGCGTCGAAGTATCGACGATAAATGGTCGGACAAATTGAGATACCATTTTAAATGATGAATTAGTTAAATTGAAACGGTTACAAAATCTTAAATATTATCTCCTTTATCATCAACAAATTTTTAGATCCCATATTACAATATTACGTCATGTCATTGTCATATAAATTTATTTTTTCCTGCGAAAAAAAAAACATTTATAGATCCATTGCATCAGAAGATTTATATAACATATAAAGTCTTGTTCATCTACCTCTACTAAGTAGCCAGCAAGGTTGCGTGAAATAAAAAAGACCAGCTATTAAATTATAAAAGGAAAATAGGATAGCATAAAGTTCAGAGTTCCCTGTACATCAATAAATAAACAGTAATTAGTAATTACATCGCCCCCAGAGAGAGAGTGGCAAGGTGCGGCTAAGAAGAAGTCACGTGACAGCTCAAGAATATGGTTGTTAGGTCACGTGACAGCTCAAGAAGATGGCTGTTAGGTCACGTGACAGCTCAAGAAGACTGTTCTTGAGGAGCAGTGTAAACGTAGTCGCCAGGATTACTCTGTATTAGACCCCAGTGTTTGGCAGCTGCCATACAGTTGTTCAGGAGATCCTTCATTACTCCCCCTTGCGTGCCCATTCCCTGAAAAGGAGGGAAAATATGGTCATGTGTCACATGTCACGTGTTATTTTATATAGTCAGATTTTAAGGAACATAACTCAATAGTAAGGATATTACATAATATAATATTACATAATATAATATGTAGAAGAGACACTTATTTGTTCACTTTTTGACAAAAAGCGGCAAAACCTCTTTCTCACATGGGAAAATACAATGACATTTGACACCACGTGGAATAACCTGATCTATCAACTTAGTCCGGAACTGTTAAAATTTCATGTCAATGCTATCCATGACACTGCGTCAACACCTAGCAACCTAAAGCTTTGGAATAAAGCCGTTTCAGGAAACTGTAAACTCTGCAGCAAACAAGGGACACTCAATCATATCTCAACGTTCTGCAAGGTTGCACTAAGACAGGGACGTTTCAACCGGCGCCATGATCAGGTCCTACGTGAAATCATGAAGACTGTTTCATCACAGATTGACAAGTTTAATTCCGACATCGCCAAGGAATCGAAGAGGGCACCGTCGGTCTTTCACAAGGCAGGCAATAAGCGCGAGAAGGTTACCCTAGCTGACCCAACTCATCATTTTTTTTATCAATAAACTTTCAAATTGTTACACAAATACATCATTTTATTTCAAAGAAAATATCGCCGAATGACCTTACATGCCTTGACAAGTGACCGAGTGTAAACAAAATAAGGGACACCGAAACACCAGTTGACCAGTAAACTGATCATAGCAATTACATCGGGCCCTAAATGCACCTATAAGTGAAGCGATGCTGCAACCAAGGCATGCTAGGTTTATTCCATTGAACTAATAAGGTTACAGCCTAAAATATAAATATAATAAATAACAATGTACCATAAATCATAATTATAAACACACTTTATTTAACATATTTTATTAATTATACTTCATATCAATTTATATTTAGACAATATAGTTACATTAAGGTAAATTGTTTAACTGTCAGAGGATGTTATATGGTCGTTTAGAACTGTCCAGAGGTACTTAATTAAATGGGTTTTAAACACGGATGGCCTTGAGATTTCCCTTAATTCATAAGGGAGTTTATTCCAAAGAATGTGTGCTCTGTAAAAGTAAGACTTAGATATGCCTGAACATCTGGTCTGGCTTGACGTAAGGTTTTGTGGAACTTGAGGAGAAATGTCACTAATCATACTGAGATCGTCTAGATGTGATCGCCTTAACCTACTTCCCATGAAACGTCGTAAGTAAGGTGGAAATGTCACAACTGACATGTCATAAAAAATATTATGAAAATATAATATATCCTTGTAATCAAACCTTACCGAGAGTGGAAGGATATTTAGTTCCTTACACGCTATGAAATACCTTTTTTTGTCCCTAAGGCTCAAGTAAATATCATTAAGGATCCACTTGATACCTCTTTTTTGTATCGATTCAAGTTTCTCCACCGAGGTTTCTGAATGAGGCCGCCAGACAATTGTGCAGTGTTCGAAATGACTTCTAACCTGAGATAGATAGAAGGCCCGACGTTTTTTAGTGTTCTTGGTGAAGTAACATGTTCTTTTTAGAAGGCCTAACCTCTGACTAGCCTTAGAGTATATCATATCACAGTGATGTGACCAATCTAACTTACTATTGATATGTACTCCAAGATCTTTTTCAATGTCTGTGTATTCGATAGCCGTTTCATTCATTGAGTACACAAAATTAACACTACGATTCATAGAATATGCTCGGGTAATAGAAAGAACGTGACTTTTTGAAGGGTGAAACACCATCTTATTATGATGAGCCCAATTTTGAAGACTGTTAATATCCCGCTGGAGCAGCCAATGGTCATCCTGGGACGTGATTCTACGCCATATTTTTGTATCATCAGCATACATGGTTATATTTGTTTCCGGTGACAAATCCTCTGTAATGTCATTAAGAAAAAGTATAAATAAAGTAGGCCCTAAAATTGAGCCCTGGGGGACACCTGATCTAACCTGACAGGGAGCAGACATTTTATTTCCAATGACAACCCTTTGGTATCTGTTTTCAAGGTAGCACTTGAAGAATCTCAGTAGAGATGCATCAATGTTATATTGTTCTTTGAGCTTCAACAGAATTATGTCGTGGTTGACAGAATCAAAAGCTTTTTGGAAATCAAAGTATATTATGTCAGTGCGAACATTGTCATTGAGAGATAGGGCTAAGCTGTCACAGAAATTTACTAGCTGAGTTGTACATGATTTCCTACTCATAAAACCATGTTAACGTTGATCAATAAGATGTTCACATCGATTGAGCAATTCATCCCGGATTACTTTTTCGTAAACTTTCATAATAATGCTTGTCAGAGAAATTGGCCTATAGTTGTTAACTTCAATTTTAGAGCCTTTTTTATGAACTGGAACAACGTTTGCCATTTTCCAATCTGCTGGAATACATCCAGTTTTATAAGAAGCTTCAAAAAGGATAGCAAGAGGCTTAGACAGGCTCACTGAACAGTACTTTAAAATTCTTCCATGGATATTGTCGGCCCCTTGCGCTTTACTTGGATCAATATTTTCAAGTAAACCTTTGATTTTACAAGTGTCGAAATTGACCTGAAAATCACGGTCACTGGAAAAGTCGATATCTATATCATAATCACTACCCTCTGTAAACTGTTCGTTAAAATATTTATTGAATAACTCACACTGTCCTTGCGGATCGGACCGTAGGCAACCATTGTAGCTGACTGTTTCAGGAATGCGATTAGAGTTTGATTTAGATTTCACAAAAGACCAGAACTTTTTGTTAATGAGATTTCTGTTATCATCATCTTCAAAGTTTGCGTCCAATTTTGCATCAACGAGATTTTTAAAATCCCTCCTAGCTTTGGAAAATTTTAAATATTTTTTTGGATTAGAAGACTGTTTCCATTCGTCATGTAGTCGCTCCTTTTTTCTACATAAATCAAAGACATCTGAGTCAAACCATGGGGGTTGAAATTCATCGGAGACAGATATCTTAGGAATATGTGAATTACAATGAGAAGTGAAAATAGTATTGAAAACTGACCAGGCCTCTTCGACTGGTTTACCACTAAGTAGATGTTCCCAGTTTTCAGAATTCAGTGCATTATTTAAATGAGACCCAAAGATATTTCTTTTCAGATGCCAACGACTGGAAGATAATATTTGATGAGGATGAGAGACAGAGGAAATTCCCGCAGCACATTGCAGCTACACCACTAAGACCTGATGTAGTGATCTATTCAGATAAAGCAAAGAAGGTTTATCTAATGGAGCTGACTTGTGGAAATGAGCAGAACTTTGCTGATCAAGAGAAGCGAAAGATGAAGAGATATCAGCAGCTGACAGAAGAGATAGAAGCCAACGGATGGGCTTGCAGAAGAAGTGGGAGCTCGAGGCATTTACAACTATAGCCTCCCAACCTTTATGAACCACCTGAACGTAACGAACAAAGAGAAGAAGGCCTGCATGAAGATCGCTGAGATCAGCCTGAGGGCATCGTATACCATCTATTTGTCCAGAAACACTACCATATGGACAGATGATTGGGAGTTAGTCAAGAGACCAGTAATAGCATAGTAGGAGCGTAGAATGTTTGGGCCCAGAAAAACATGTTTAATACCGCTATGAACCCGTCATAAGCCGGGGACTACTATGAAAGTGATGATGCTGTGTTGTTGAAAGACCTTCGACCTGGTCGAAGGTCTTTCGACCAATCTCTTTGATTGGTCGAAGTTCGACCAATCAAAGATGTACATCATCACGCCAAGCGGTTATGCTTGTAGGTGAATATACACTTATAGAGTACAACAACTTTATAACACTCCTGTATATAATATGTATATAATATGTATAATATGTATAATATGTATAATCTTACTATATATAAAGCGAGACGATATATATATATATATATATTTATTTATCCGCACCATTTTACTGACACCACGGCATCAACTTTAACACGGGTTCCCGCAAAAACCGTACAAGATATAAAACTGAAACTTTTTTAACTGATTCAAATGCTTTAATGGCCTTCAAATCAGCATGAAAAAATCGAAAATCGGCCAAGGAATAAGAATTTTAGTACCCAAAATTTGGATTACCAAGTGGTGTCAAAAACGCGAATTAAATAGGTAATAATTATTTTTACTGTGTACTGGGAGACTAGGAAACTGATCCGGCCACCAAAAAGCCTTGACACCAGTCTTAAAGGTTTGACGGTACGGGTTCCTGCTAGTATGTATAATATGTATAGTAGTAATGATAATAATGGATAATATGTATATAAGATGTAATGGATAATAATGGATAATAAGGGTTTTAAAGGAGCACAAACCATCTGCAGTGCAAGTAGACATTCGAATATCTGAGTGTTAATGATCTTCTCAGCTATTTCTTTGTCGGCAGCTAACATGTTTTGAAGTATAACCAGTAGTCTGTGTCGAATACCTAAAATATTGCAGTGTAATATTGCAGTGAAATGAAAAGTATAACCAGTAGTCTGTGTCGAATACCTAAAATATTGCAGTGTAATATTGCAGTGAAATGTTGGGGGGGGGGGGGGGCGTCAACCTCATAAATATACATAAATTAATAGGTATTTATGAGGTTGATGCCCCCCCCCCCCCTCAAATATTGCAGTGTTATGTTGCAGTGTAATGTTGCAGTGGTTTAGCAAAGAAAGAAAATACTCGTTAAAACTGTATTGAACACAAGTACAAATAGAAACTTGTAGGTTCATAACCTACCAAGACGCGCGCCGTGTTTGACACCAGTTAAATAAAACCAACCTTGATCCTCAAGAAGAACAGTAAGAGTATCACCAGTTAAATAAAACCAACCTTGATCCTCAAGAAGAACAGTAAGAGTATCACCAGTTAAATAAAACCAACCTTGATCCTCGAGAAGAACAGTAAGAGTATCACCAGTTAAATAAAACCAACCTTGATCCTCAAGAAGAACAGTAAGAGTATCACCAGTTAAATAAAACCAACCTTGATCCTCGAGAAGAACAGTAAGAGTATCACCAGTTAAATAAAACCAACCTTGATCCTCAAGAAGAACAGTAAGAGTATCACCAGTTAAATAAAACCAACCTTGATCCTCAAGAAGAACAGTAAGAGTATCACCAGTTAAATAAACCAACCTTGATCCTCAAGAAGAACAGTTTCCATGACGACCTCCTCAAAACTCCCGATGTTCATGATACACTTGCAGATCCTGGTATCGGAAGTGAGATAAGCTAGTGCTCCCAGTGCTGCCACTCTTGTGTGGTACTCCTCATCTGCACAGAACACAAACACGGCTTTCAAACGGTCCACTGGCTCTGTGCTCTCTTTTACTTCTGGTGGTCAGATTAGTTCGTTATCATGTTATTTCTAATAACTATTTATTATATTTTGTAACGTCAACTAGTTAACCCGATCAATGTCTGGAAAACTGCAAATTTTCATATGCCCAGCAATTATTTTCTAGGAGGAGTCGTGCGAGATGACAATAAATAAGAGGCCGCAGAATGATGAGTACTACCAGATCCCGGTGGAACTAATTTGATTTACAGGGTGAGTTGAAAATAGTGTGTGGAATGTAAAAATCTCTAATTTTTTTGACAAATGAAATATCCACTTAATTTTTGCATATTTAGGTAATGAAAATATATACTTTTTATAATAATACAATTAAAATACTTAATAATTAATAATTTGCTTAACCCATCGTCCTTTATTAGCTAGGACATGTTGATAACGTGTAAGACAATTGTCTATAGCCGACTTGACTGTATTATGGGGGCAGGGGGGTCTTCATGGAAATTTTCTCAAAATCGACTTTTTAGTTAGTTGTTTCTGATAGAGGGGAGTAATATCTATCAGATGCTTTTGATGCCGTGGAAAAATATCGTTCCTAGCCGAAATTATTGCCGGTCAAAGGTCAGCGCGTGTGTGGTAATTGTATTGCGCGAGCGATTTTTGATCGCGTGCCCTGAAAATCGAGTCTAAAAATCTATTTTCTCCTACATATTTTGAGCAATCACCCTGAAACTTTCAGTATATGTTCTAAGGATCATTTAAAAGAGACAGAATTTTGAGATAGGCCTTTAAAAAATTTTTATTCGATTTTGAAAATCTTGGACCTCGTTTTTTGATGATTTTTTGAGGTCCACGATTTTCAAAATCGAATAAATTTTTTAAAAAGGCCTACCTCAAAATTCTGTCTGGCTCATCTCTTCTAAATGATCCCTAGAACATATACTGAAAGTTGTATAATATCACGTCAGGTCTACCTTTACTATAAGTATAATATTATGAGATTACACTAACACTTACCAGGAAGGTATCTCTCCTTGAACTGGTTAGTAATTAGTTAGTAATTAGTAAGTAATTAGTTAGTAACTACACTAACCAGGGAGGTATCTCTCCTTGAACTTGTCACTGAGAGCCAGGTTACACACTGCTTGAGTAGCGGCCCTCCTCAGCGCCTCATTATCCTCCAACATCTGGAAGTCAATGTGGTGACACCCTCCTTCCCTGATAATCCTCTCTCTCACACTGTCACTCACACTGGCCAGGTTTGTGAGCCCCATTAGTCCGTCGTATACTAGAAACGTGTTCTCATTGGTGGACTCTATTAGTGAGATACACGGTCTACAAGCGTCCATCGCACTGAGGATATGTAATATTAGCGAGATACACGGTCTACAAGCGTCAATCGCACTGAGGATATGTAATATTATGTACATACAATGTATTGTATATACAATGTATATACAATATGTATATAATAATATACAAATACTCATGTAACCATTTACCATGTTCATTGACTGATCTATTCATACTAGTTAACAATACGTTATCTTTAGTAGTTTAATTTCCCCTTACTCTGTGCCTAGCACTTCACTCTCATTAGTCTGCATTTAGTGTTTAAGCCATTAGTAACCCTTCTCTCCTTGTTTTCACTGTCCGTTTACCCAGCATCGTGATAATTACCTGCACTACTTTATTTATTCTACCTCCTCCTACACGAGGAATTCTTTACACGTGGCTACATCACGAGTTACCCAGCATAGTGATATTTACCGGATACTTTAATTTTTCTCGACAATTTGTCCCTCTTTGTTGTGATATGTTTCATTCTCTATTGCGACAAGTTAACCAGTTATTAGCTTCAGCCCACTTATTATCTTCTAGTAGTCTATATAGACCCTCTTTACTTTATAACCTCTTGGTTGTGGCACTTAATTCTAGGGTGTTTTAGTCATTAACAGTTAATCTTCCGATTTTACGGTCTGTCATACGTTCACTCAGCACCTGTACTGATTACCTGTATTAATCACTAATCTCCATCTCTTTGTTTTTCCCAGCCGCTAATCTGTAGCTCACTTTTAATCGACCCAGTTTAGACCTCATGTCATTTAGATCTTCTATGTTGAGACAAGTTTTCAGATAATGGTTTTATAATTACGGTACTGAGCAGTACTATTTATCACAACTACCTATTTATATAAGTATATAGCACACTTCACAATCGACCCATCTCTAGACCCAATCATGCAAATGAGTTTATGTCACCATCACCTGCAACAAGAGTTTGTTACCAGCATCACGGACAAAGGATAGGACAAAGAAGACACTATCTGCCACACTTATAGAGCCTGGCAAACTCTAATCAAAGGTAAGTCTGGCAGTGGTTCACACTCTGTTGATATCTCTTTAATGAGACTTGATTGAGGCCTCTCAACTTCCCTAGTTGAGTGTGTCCCACAACCAAGCTCATTGCCTAGAAGTCCTGCATTATTATAATGAACCTGGACATACGTGGCAAGTTTAAGCTCTTGAAACCAAACCAAACCAAACTAACAATACGTTATTAATAATTAATTTTTTAATACGTTATTAAGTTATCATTAATTAATTTATTAAATGACTTGATACGTTAATTATTCGCTACTAACCGTTGTCCGCTGAATGCTAGAGCAGGGTTCATTTTAATTGCTATTTTAGCGATGGAGTGGGCTGCATATCTCTTTCCTTCTATTGTGTTCTCACCGAACAGATTAAGGAGAGCTCTAGTTCCCCCCTGCTGTACAACAGCACCACAGTTCGCACCTGTTAATAGTTAATAGTTAGTAGTTAGTACGTTCAGATAAGGTATTAGTTAATAGTTAATAGTTAATAGTTAATAGTTAATAGTTAATAGTTAATAGTTAGTAGTTAATAGTTAGTGTGTTCAGATAAGTAATTAGTTATCAAATACAGTTATTTATTTATTGATGAAATGAGTTTTAGTCATTCAGATGAGCAAATCAAATATTTGAAATTCAACATTAATCATTTTATTAAACAGTTCATTTAAACGAAAAAACTGGAAACTTCAACTCTGTTAAGACAGCTTACGTTATCTTAACAGAAATCTAACTAGTTGTATTATGTATACAATATATTATATTGTATTGTACATTATAAAATATGAACACTCATCGAAACAAGAAGATAACGGATAATAACTTACCTTCATCACTAGAGATGATACCGAAGTAGCTGCGAGCAAGGAACTCTCTTGTACGCTCGCTATCAGCAGTAGAACAAGCAGACAGAACACTAGGCACACCGGCAACTACTAGCTTACTTATCCTGGTAATTAGTTAGTAATTACTAGGTAATTTGTTGGTAATTGGTTGGTAATTGGTTTGTAATTACTTGGTAATTAGTTGGTTATTAGTTCGTAATTGGTTTGTAATTGGTTGATAATTGGTTAGTAATTAGTTGTTTATTAGTTCGTAATTGGTTTGTAATTGGTTGATAATTGGTTAGTAATTAGTTGTTTATTAGTTCGTAATTAGTAAGTAATTGGTTTATAATTGGTTAGTAATTAGTGCTAGTGCTTATTCTAACCTGGTTTTCAAGTTCTCCTCACTATCCAGCTCGTGAGCCTGAGGTACGTTCTGTTTAGCGTACTCAGCGATTCTCTGCATCTCCGGCGCAACATCCGGTATGTCGTACGAGTTAGTAGCGTTCATGAAGATACACGAGAGGGAGTAGCTAGTACTGGGGGAGGGGTTCGTGGAGTAATCACAGATTATCTTCATCTGTTCGTCGTCGTGCACCAGATTGTGCTTCACTTCTGCGTCTATAGTCAGGTACGCTAGAGCTTCTATCGCCCACTTTCTGGCTTCTTCTGTTGGGTTCTTGACGAGGAGTGCCCGGATTTGTTTAAAGATCCTCGCTCCGGCTCCCTCTGCTATAATGTTCTTGTTAACATCCCCACCACTGCTGGCACACATCTTACTCATGGCCACCAGCGTGCGCAGTTTCACTGAGTCCTCCACCTGGTTGGTACTCGTTTAAAAATAATTATTAATAAATAAAGCTTAATACAGAATTATAGCTTAGTTCACTTGAATGGGGATAATCTTCTTACCCTTGTTCTGGAAAAAATTAACTTGACTTCAATCTATATTTTAATCGGCTTTAATATGAACGGTACAAATTGATAAATGAAACGAAAGAATGCACTAAGCACGTACATTAGGAGCTTTGTAAAGAGTTATTAAAGAGTTAGTAATTAGTAAGTAATTAGTAAGTAATTAGTAAGTAATTAGTTAGTAATTAGTTAGTAATTAGTTAGTAATTAGTTAGTAATTAGTTAGTAATTAGTTAGTAATTAGTTATTAATTAGTTAGTAATTAGTTAGTAATTAGTTAGTAATTAGTTAGTAATTAGTTAGTAATTAGTTAGTAATTAGTTAGTAATTAGTAGTAAAAACGTACATTAGGAGCTTTGTAAAGAGTTTTGAGAATGTTAAAGTTTTGTCCAGCCAAATTGTAACACATTTTCTTATCACTGCACATCAGAGCTACTGTCTCGGCGGCTGTCTGAGGGGGGTATTCATTAAACTTATATTTAATTCATTAAATTGTATTAAACTTATTTATGTATTCTTGGTAAAATTATCTTTATCCCGGTTGTTGCGACAAGTCAAATAATTTGATAGCATTTTCACTTGTCGCAACAACCGGGATAAAGATAATTTTACCCAGAATACATTACAACAATGCGACTCATAAACAATACTCCAATCCGGATTTTACATAAACTTATTTATAATATAAAATTTACAAGCCCAAACGTTTGCACAGTAACTTATGACCCCTGTATACTGTATAGTGTTATATTACGTTTTTGTTGAATATTTTATTTAATTCTAGCTAGAAACTAGAAACTCGTGGCGATGAGGCACGTATGTTACGCGTTAGTGTCTGGCTCTGGAATTATGAGGACACTATAGTAATATACCGATAACTAAGGTGGCCTAGTGGTTAGAGCATCCGCCTTCTGCGCAGAAGGTTCAGGGTTCGAATCCCAGTGTCACCCAGTCTAGGGAGTAGCTAAGGATCCATTGAATCTATGCGATCTCCTCGGTCGACTCAGCCGAATTAATAACTAAAATGTACTAAATTTCTGACCTGCTGAATATCTCGAATTAATAACTAAAATGTACTAAAATTCTAACCTGCTGAATATTTGTGTCTTTAGAGCACAGTAATTTAGAGACTATCCTGTATATTTCAGCGTTATCCTTTATCACATCGCCTCCCGCCTCAAACGAACCCTAAACAGGAATACAGACGGTTAAATGAATTAAAACACTGAATATTATATATATCACTGGTAACACCATTAACTGTAACACTGTTACCCGTAATTACCTGTGATTACCTGTAACATAATTACCTGTAACACCATTACCTGTAATTACCTATAATAACCTGTAATGTAACACAATTACCTGTAATTACCTGTAATTACCTGTAATTACCTGTAATTACCTGTAATGTAACACAATTACCTGCAGCAGAATATTGAGCGCCCTCAGAGCTAACATCTGATGCTCCTCCTCCCCGGAGAGTATCCTAGGGTTAATAACAGTGGAGGTCTGCCTCACAAACTGTAGTGATCTCTTATCGTCTGCTCTTGTTCTGGCCCACATCTTACTCACCACTATAGAGATTTGTTGTGCGTGGTCGTAACTAACTTTTCCGTTCATTACCAGGGTTATCATAAAGTTTATCAGCTCTTTATTGAGCACCTCCTCGTTAATGACACGTGAGTCTGTTACCTTGACGACCGCATTGAGAAGCGAGTTCATAGCTGCATCTTTAGCTACTTTACTGCACTCTTTAAAGTATTCGAACAATGTGTTGAGGAGTTTGGGGACTGGGAACTTCTTGATGGGCTGACCGAGTTCTCTTTTAGTGTAATCATATCCCCGGTCCTCTAGCACTGAGTTAAACATCTCATATAATACACCGCCTATAAGCGAGGAGCACTCATTATTCTGCTTGAGAATCTTTATAGAAGTTGCCAGGGGAACACTCTCCAGGACGAGTTTAGTGCGTGGGATACTGTCACGTGTTAGACAGATAACACAGTTTAGGGCGTGTAGCTGGATCTTATCCTGGTGCAGGAACCTGGGATAGGTTATTATCTGTATGTGCGGAATTTAGTTACCATAGTTACACTACTAGTTACCATAGCTACACTACTACTCTGTATGTGTGGAATTTAGTTCGAGTAACTAAACGTGTAAAAGTAATAACGTGGGGTTCACGATTGTTTTCATCATTGAGTTATAGCGATTAGCGCACTGAACGTACAAATATTGCTGTGAATCAACAGATTCGCTGCATGATGAATTATAATACATTAATATACATTATAATACATTAATGTACATTAATATACATTAATATACATTAATATACATTGATATACATTAATAATTATAGTACATTACCTGGTGATATCCTTGAGGCCTCCCTTCATGATTACACTCTCTGATCCTGCTTTATTGGAAGTTATATTGACCAGGTTCTTCATTGCTAGTGTCTTCTTATCCACATCTGCCTCCTGATCCCGCAATGAACCGAGCATTTCATCTACAAGTCCTGTAGTACTCGTCATTAGATCCTTCCGCCCTTGGATGTCTTTTCTTAACTAAGGTAGTGGAATGTTAATTCGTATCTTAACAAAGATCACCAGACAGATATTATCTGCATAATTATGTTCGAAACTTGAACAGCTCATATTTTCACACAAAAGCTATGTTAAGTCCCTGACATGGGAATGTATACAATGTATAAAATATATAATGTATACAAAATATAAGGTATAATATAATATAACACAAATTTCTAACCTCCATAACCAAATCAATAGCAGTCTTGTTTTTGGGGTCTATCCTAACAGAGTCCATAGCATCCTTCAGTGCCTTATCAAGCTGCTTAAGATGCTGGTGAGCAACAGCTCTACGGTAGAAAGCCTTACTGTCTCCCCCTCCCATACTAATACACTGGTTAATATCATCTACTACTCCCTCGTACTTTCCTGCAAGAGTTTAGTGAGTGGGGGTGTGGAGTGCATTTTGTCAGCGTCATGTCTACAAATAATCGTATAATAAACCCGTATTTTGGGGGACCAGCATCAACAAAGCATCAACTAAGTCAAAATAACAAAAGAGAAAGAAAATAAAGTCAAAGGGAAAGGGAAAGTGAAAGCGAAAGTAACGCTAATCTGACAAGTACCTAGTTTGAGGAAGCAAGCTGCCCTGTTCTTTAATATAACAGCAGTTTCAGAGGATGTTTTACCCCCTAACATGTCCAAACCTTCTGTGTAAAACTTAACTGCTGCATCATATTCGCCTCTTTTAAACTGCTCGTTACCTTGGAAACATAATTAATTAGCGAGCGATTAATTAAGATAAATTATCGATATAATGTTCCTGAAGCAGCTGGATTATCCAGATTAATTAGATACGAAGTTAAATCATCGTAAAATCAAGATAAACTAGTTTTCGATGATCTGTTAGTGATAAGAAGTTAAATCATCTTATCTAGATAAATTAGTTTTTCAGCAAGAAAGCAACTAACCTCTATCCTTCAGAATTGTGGGGTTAACTTCGGCTGCTACCATCCTAAAATTTCATATCATTTAAAACTAATTTTGAACTATTACATCATTTTTCAAATAACTTGTTTTGTGTCTTCTATAGTTTATTTGCAATCAAAAGTGGGACCAACTTTGAGATGGACCTCAAAAAAATAAAAAAATAAACTCGCTCCGGTTTGTAATATAGTTAAAATTTTTAAATTAGTATCAATAAATTAAAAGTGCAAGTAATATCAGTGACCGATTAAAATAGTTAAGTAAAGAAATTCCTCGTAACTTAGACCACCCAAATAACTAAAAAAAGAGATTTACCAAAGTACAAAGTAGAATACTAAACAAAGTAAAGTGCAAAGTAAAGTACAAAGTATACCAGTAAAATAGCAGGTGCGCGCTCCGAGCTTGTACAAGGAAATAAGCTAATAGAGTTTTCCTTGAAAGATAAACCAATTTGCATTTTGCACCATCCGACCATACTCGAATAAATAACTGTTTGAGAACAGCCAAAATCTGTTTAACATCTAAAATATCGTGAGGTCAAGCTCTGAAAATAAAAACATCCAAATGAATACTCATCCAGCTAAAAAAACAATCACGTGTCACAAAGAAGAATCACGTGTCTTGATCACGTGTCACAAAGAAGAATCACGTTTCTTGATCACGTGTCAGTTGAATCTAGCTCGTTGTGAATCTCCATCTTAAACTTCTTCTTATTGCCCAAACCCTCCTCCTCCTCCTGACCCTCCTCCTTTACAATAGCCTCCCTCATGCTAGTGTTAACCAACATAGAGTCACTCAGACTCTCATCTCCTCTCCCGAACTTCTTCTTCAGCGACAAGAACTTCGACATTAGATCGTCATCTGTTTCATCAAGATCAAACTGATCCGCTGAAGGGATTGTGGAGGTTTGTTCAGTGTATGATTTGTTCTGGATAATGCAACCCTCCTCCTCCTCCTCCTCCCCCTCCTCCTCCTCCTCTTTCTTCTCCTCCATGCCCGGGGGTATGAGACCAGCAGCTGTCCCTGCCTCCTCTGGTGACGTGATCTCCGGGAGACAGATTGTCTTTTTAGCGGGAACACTTTCACTTTCACTTAGCGGAGGTTGAGTTTCTGTATCAAGGTTATCTGGGGATGTTTTAAGGGGTGATAGCTGGCTACTGTTCTTAGGCTGGGGTAGGGTAAGTCTCCGTTTTAGGATGACTGGAGTTGAAGATTTGGGTTTTAATGAAGATTTCTTCTTTGTAGGGGTCTTAATCTCCGGCGCTGTAAAGTTGTAAGAAATTCAGAACAATCCAATAATTTGTGGTTAACGATAATTTGTGGTTTAGGAAAAAGACTGATTGCAACAAAAAATATTGAAAATCTATGAAAAACACACAGCTTACCAGAAAAATCTTTAAAGGAGTGAACCTCCTCCTTCTTCTTAGCTGGCGTATCATCTGGAAATTATAACAATTTCATAAAAGTTTGGAGGTTGTCCATTCGCCTAAAAAAGCATGACAAGATTCAAGGGTTTTTTAAACTGGGCGAATAAATTATATCCAAAACTCTGCCTGTTTCCCCCTTTTGATGATACATATTGTAAATATTAGCGGACACTCCTACCTCCAGCTTACAGTACGCCTATAAACATATAGACGCTACGTATTTACCATAGTAACGTACCGTTTATAGCGCTAGTAACCCTAGTAACCCTAGTAACGTACCGTTTGTAAAGTTTACAGCGCTGTTATCCAGCCTAGTAACCCTAGTAACGTACCGTTTATAATGTTTACAGCGCTGTTATCCAGCCTAGTAACCATAGTAACGTACCGTTTATAAAGTTTACAGCGCTGTTATCCAGCCTAGTAACCCTAGTAACGTACCGTTTATAAAGTTTACAGCGCTGTTATCCAGCCTAGTAACCCTAGTAACGTACCGTTTATAAAGTTTACAGCGCTGTTATCCAGCCTAGTAACTCTAGTAACGTACCGTTTATAAAGTTTACAGCGCTGTTATCCAGCCTAGTAACTCTAGTAACGTACCGTTTATAAAGTTTATAGCGCTGTTATCCAGCCTAGTAACCTTAGTAACGTACCGTTTATAAAGTTTATAGCGCTGTTATCCAGCCTAGTAACCCTAGTAACGTACCGTTTACAGCGCTGTTATCCAGCCTAGTAACCCTAGTAACGTACCGTTTATAGCGCTGTTATCCAGCCTAGTAACCCTAGTAACGTACCGTTTATAGCGCTGTTATCTAGCCTAGTAACTCTAGTAACGTACCGTTTATAGCGCTGTTATCCAGCCTAGTAACCATAGTAACGTACCGTTTATAAAGTTTACAGCGCTGTTATCCAGCCTAGTAACCCTAGTAACGTACCGTTTACAGCGCTGTTATCCAGCCTAGTAACCCTAGTGACGTACCGTTTATAAAGCTGTTATCCAGCCTAGTAACCCTAGTAACGTACCGTTTATAGCGCTGTTATCTAGCCTAGTAACTCTAGTAACGTACCGTTTATAGCCCTGTTATCTAGCCTAGTAACCCTAGTAACGTACCGTTTACAGCGCTGTTATCCAGCCTAGTAACCCTAGTAACGTACCGTTTATAAAGTTTACAGCGCTGTTATCCAGCCTAGTAACCCTAGTGACGTACCGTTTATAAAGTTTACAGCGCTGTTATCTAGCCTAGTAACCCTAGTAACGTACCGTTTATAGCGCTGTTATCTAGCCTAGTAACCCTAGTAACGTACCGTTTACAGCGCTGTTATCCAGCCTAGTAACCCTAGTAACGTACCGTTTATAAAGTTTGAACAGCGCTGTTATCCAGCCTAGTAACCCTAGTAACGTACCGTTTACAGCGCTGTTATCCAGCCTAGTAACCATAGTAACGTACCGTTTATAAAGTTTACAGCGCTGTTATCTAGCCTAGTAACCCTAGTAACGTACCGTTTATAGCGCTGTTATCTAGCCTAGTAACCCTAGTAACGTACCGTTTATAAAGTTTACAGCGCTGTTATCCAGCCTAGTAACCCTAGTAACGTACCGTTTATAAAGCTGTTATCCAGCCTAGTAACTCTAGTAACGTACCGTTTATAGCGCTGTTATCCAGCCTAGTAACCCTAGTATCGTACCGTTTACAGCGCTGTTATCTAGCCTAGTAACCCTAGTAACGTACCGTTTATAGCGCTGTTATCTAGCCTAGTAACCCTAGTAACGTACCGTTTATAAAGTTTACAGCGCTGTTATCCAGCCTAGTAACCCTAGTAACGTACCGTTTATAAAGCTGTTATCCAGCCTAGTAACTCTAGTAACGCACCGTTTATAGCGCTACATTATCCAGCCTAGTAACCCTAGTAACGTACCGTTTACAGCGCTGTTATCTAGCCTAGTAACCCTAGTAACGTACCGTTTATAGCGCTGTTATCTAGCCTAGTAACCCTAGTAACGTACCGTTTATAAAGTTTACAGCGCTGTTATCCAGCCTAGTAACCCTAGTAACGTACCGTTTATAAAGTTTACAGCGCTGTTATCCAGCCTAGTAACCCTAGTAACGTACCGTTTATAAAGTTTACAGCGCTGTTATCTAGCCTAGTAACCCTAGTAACGTACCGTTTATAGCGCTGTTATCCAGCCTAGTAACCCTAGTAACGTACCGTTTACAGCGCTGTTATCCAGCCTAGTAACCCTAGTAACGTACCGTTTACAGCGCTGTTATCTAGCCTAGTAACTCTAGTAACGTACCGTAGATTGGGGTAAAATCGCCGTGTCGGGGAACTTCGCCACTATTTTTCAAATAATCATTTTACTGTTTTGAATTGTTAGGAGATCGAGTTTTTGTATAGTATTGTGTTGAACAAATGGTTATAAAGGTATTCCTATTCAAAAATAAACGTTTACGATGTTAATTAAACTCAGGCAACATGAAATAATGCAATAAAGTGGCTAAAATTTCCTGCTTGCATATTTCCCATATTTTACAATTATATCCTTAATAAATTCTGTGTGACATCATTAGCATATTTCCTGTTCATTTAAGGGCGAATTTAGTTAGCCATGATGCACACAACTGATATTATAAAGTTTTCAAATTTGTGTGAGGCGAAGTTACCCTCTTCTGATCCCATCTGTTCGGCGAAGTTTGGCGCGAAATTCGCGCGCGGCTGGCAAAGTCACGCACGTGTATTGGCGAAGTTCGACTACATTTCTACTTCATCCCGGCGATGTTACCCACAGCATGGCGATGTTACCCCGGCGACCAAATTGCCCATTGTAACACGCAGGCTAGAGCTAGATAAGTAAAATTGGCAGGTATATCAAGGAAATATAATTGAGTTTCGAGTGGTATGGTGCTAAGCACCGAATATGGTATAGTTTCAGAATGGCGAAGTTACCCCATATTGCAGGGTAACTTCGCCCTGATTTCAGTGGCACCAATCTAGCTGACTATTTATGCCTGGCTGATGTGGTTCATACGAAAACATTTGCTTTACCAATCCTGTTCATATGAGCTATAAACGTTTTCAAGTACTCGTGTCGTATTTTCTAAATAACATGAAATAGCTGTAAAACATGGCGAAGTTCCCCCATTCTACGGTACCGTTTACAGCGCTGTTATCCAGCCTAGTAACCCTAGTAACGTACCGTTTATAAAGTTTACAGCGCTGTTATCCAGCCTAGTAACCCTAGTAACGTACCGTTTACAGCGCTGTTATCTAGCCTAGTAACCCTAGTAACGTACCGTTTATAGCGCTGTTATCCAGCCTAGTAACCCTAGTAAGTAGTAACGTACCGTTTATAAAGTTTACAGCGCTGTTATCCAGCCTAGTAACCCTAGTAACGTACCGTTTATAGCGCTGTTATCCAGCCTAGTAACCCTAGTAACGTACCGTTTACAGCGCTGTTATCCAGCCTAGTAACTCTAGTAACGTACCGTTTATAAAGCTGTTATCCAGCCTAGTAACCCTAGTAACGTACCGTTTATACAGTTTATAGCGCTGTTATCCAGCCTAGTAACCCTAGTAACGTACCGTTTATAAAGTTTACAGCGCTGTTATCCAGCCTAGTAACCCTAGTAACGTACCGTTTACAGCGCTGTTATCCAGCCTAGTAACCCTAGTAACGTACCGTTTACAGCGCTGTTATCCAGCCTAGTAACTCTAGTAACGTACCGTTTATAAAGCTGTTATCCAGCCTAGTAACCCTAGTAACGTACCGTTTATAAAGTTTATAGCGCTGTTATCCAGCCTAGTAACCCTAGTAACGTACCGTTTATAGCGCTGTTATCCAGCCTAGTAACTCTTGCGGAGGTATTGAGGGACATGTTAGCCTCGCTGTCACGTGATATATCTAGTTCTCCTGGCATTCCTGTACATCCCTCCGGTACCGTCTCGTTCTTTATTCCTGATATTATTAGGAGAATTAACGAGAATACCTTTACAAGGACTTGTTTAGCTCTGTCAAGCTAAACACTATAAAATGAGCTTGATTTTAGAACAATATTGTGTAGTAATAAATCTCATTGCTTCACCATTTTACATGACATCAACGGAACAAAAACCAAATTTGATTTAGGTTTTGTTTAGTTGAAGGTATGTAAATTAACTAAGGTACCATAACACCACACCATTACGACACCATAACACCACTACGACACCATAACACCATGACGACACCATAACACCACTACGACACCATAACACCATGACGACACCATAACACCACTACGACACCATAACACCATGACGACACCATAACACCACTACGACACCATAACACCATTACGACACCATAACACCACTACGACACCTACTTTAACAAGACTCACAACAATAACAACAGTTTACTGGACTAGTCCGGAAGAATAGTAAGAATGAAGGAATTAAAAATAAAGAGAAGTTTGTAATCTGTTGACTGACTTAAATTACAAAATTTATAGAGTCGTCAGTGTATTGTGGGTCTGTCCATTGCATAGGTCATCAGTATTCTTTGATTCTAAATTATTAAATATTATATGCGTACAAAGCTGACAAAATTAAATAAGAAATGAAAAATAAATTAGTAATTTGGTTAAAAAGTTAAAGTAAGTAGACCTGTTCTATTGTACACAATACTGTCCATATAAACACTAATCTTTACAGTTTTTCTCCGAGCTGAGTCAACAAACCCACTCCTCCTCGCAGCTGATAATATGAACCTGGGGGGGGGTTCTTATAAGGTGAACAAATATAAGAAGTAAACAAAAAGATCGGGTCACAGTTAAACATATATAACTTATTAATTAACTTATTATTTTCACATATATTATTTATTTTTACCTCCTAAATTTTCTATTAGTTAACCCATATAGTATAGGGTTACTGAAAGTATTTATATGTAACGCATTGTACGAGAACATGTGAAGAACACGTGGTTGAGGGATATCCAGAGCTTTTAGGATGGAGTTTAACATGTAAGGGAGGTAGGACAACAGGAAAATACCTAGAAAATTAGTTAATTAATTAACTTATTAATTAGCAACTACAGACGCTATTAACCTCTAATTAAAGTTGATTAAAATTAATTAATCCAGTGGTAGTTCTGATTGAATAAAATTCAAACTTGCATGAATTCATGGATCCAAACGTAGGAATTAATTAACTTAACTTACTGACTATAAATAAGGTAAAAATACTTGATCAGGTAATTAATTAATAACGATTATAAAGATCACCAGAGAGAATGAGAATCATTCTGACAGCCCGTCTTGTCTGATCCAGTGTAGTTCTACGACCCAGAGCAAACTTAAGCAGCACCAAGTTGTTCAGTATTAGTAACAGAATGGGGACCAGGATAAATAGAGTAGCGCAGGTTAGGACTAGAGCAGGATATGAGTCACTGTGAGGTGAGAATATATTCATTCTTACCATGGCAACTACACTAGTTACCATGACAACTACACCAGGCACGTAGACAGGGGGGGGGGGGGGGGCTAGGGGGGCGGCAGCCCCCTAGTCCCCATCTTCGCCTGGTAACTGGGCTGTGTTTATGACTGCAGTCAGTCAAAGATTTGAACTGAGGATTAGTAAATATCTGTCATAACATCCAAGCAAACATTCTAGAAGACTTCTATAAATAGTCAATAGTGTCCCCTAGACCGTAGGAAATGTAAAAATCTTAAGACGATGAGGCCTGAGTAAGTCGTAAATTCTGATTGGAGAATGCAGATTGCTGTTGTGAAGTTACCAAATTTACGTGAGTACTTGATTCTTTTCAATCCCAGTTTATTGCTGTCCTACAAATTTCTTTAATGCCAAATGTCGTCTAAAACGCCCTGTTTCGCAAAAATTTTCCGAGGGGCTGCGCCCCTCCTAGCCCCCGCCAAGGGGCTCTCCGCCCCTGGACCCCGCTGGGGCTGCGCACCAGACCCCTGCCACAGCTTGATCGCTTTCGCTCGCCGACAGCCCCCCTCAAGAAAATTCCGGGTACGTCCCTGAAAAGTACCATGCTACGTTCCATGATATCCGAGTCTCGAACTCGCAATCTGCTGATATGGAGCTAGCGTATTAACCAATTAGGCCACGATTCCATATACTGTAATGTAATATTTATATATAGATTTTCGCGCGTTACTGCAACTTAATTTGAAATACGTAATTTATCATCGGGAAATACGTATGCGTAGTACCTACGCGTAGTCTCCCCAAAACGCATTTACCATCCTTGATTAATTAATAACGATTATAAAGATCACCAGAGAGAATGAGAATCATTCTGACAGCACGTCTTGTCTGATCCAGTGTAGTTCTACGACCCAGAGCAAACTTAAGCAGCACCAAGTTGTTCAGTATTAGTAACAGAATGGGGACCAGGATAAATAGAGTAGCGCAGGTTAGGACTAGAGCAGGATATGAGTCACTGTGAAGTAAGAATATCTTTATTCTTACCATGACAACTACACTTGTTACCATGACAACCACACTAGTTACCATGACAACTACACTAGTTACCATGACAACTACACTAGTTACCATGACAACTACACTAGTTACCATGACAACTACACTAGTTACCATGACAACTACACCAGTTACCATGACAACTACACTAGTTACCATGACAACTACACCAGTTACCATGACATTTATAACACTAGTTACCATGGCAACTATAACACTAGTTACCATGACAACTACACTAGTTACCATGACAACTACACTAGTTACCATGACAACTACACTTGTTACCATGACAACTACACTAGTTACCATGACAACTACACTAGTTACCATGACAACTACACTAGTTACCATGACAACTACACTAGTTACCATGACAACTACACTAGTTACCATGACAACTACACTGTTAACCATGACAACTATAACACTAGTTACCATGACAACTACACTTGTTACCATGACAACTACACTAGTTACCATGACAACTACACTAGTTACCATGACAACTACACTAGTTACCATGACAACTACACTAGTTACCATGACAACTACACTTGTTACCATGACAACTACACTTGTTACCATGACAACTACACTAGTTACCATGTCAACTGCACTAGTTACCATGACAACTACACTAGTTACCATGACAACTACACTAGTTACCATGACAACTACACTAGTTACCATGACAACTACACTAGTTACCATGACAACTACACTAGTTACCATGACAACTACACTAGTTACCATGACAACTACACTAGTTACCATGACAACTACACTAGTTACCATGACAACTACACTAGTTACCATGACAACTACACTAGTTACCATGACAACTACACTAGTTACCATGACAAAATAAAGAAGGTGGTGGTAGGAAAAGTGAGTTTCAACCAGTCCAAATCTAACATTCAGAGAACAGCACTAAGCCAGCGACTCACCTGATAATATTAAGATAACAGCGTCCGTACCGGATATCAAACAGCGCAGTCTCACGCTCCTTTAGTTGTGCGCCCAACGGCGCGGCGCTATAACACCACAAACAGAACACCATGAACCGTGCGCGCGGCACCGTCACCCGGGACATTCCAAATGGGAAAATAACACTTTTAAAAAGTCTGAAAGTGGTGATGGCGAGGACGAAGTTGATGATAGCACATCCCAGCCATAGCGTGATGTGAGCTTGAAGAGGACAGTAGACAAGGAGGTTGGTTTTAGTGGCGTACACTAAACAGGAGGGTAACAGGGCTACACAGATGTAGAGCAAGTCTGCTATAGCTAGGTTCCTAGAGGAAAAAATTATAGCAGAAAATTATAAGATTTGTCCTTAGCTGGTCTCAAGTCATGAAATTTGGGTATGTTTTTTATGTGAACAGTATACGAGGTACTGGTAAAGATTTCTCACTATCATTAACATTTACAGCAGCAAGATCTAACCTGATAAAAATAACAGAGATTTGGTCTAACCTGATAAAAATAACAGAGATTTGGTCTAACCTGATAAAAATAACAGAGATTTGGTCTAACTGCAGGGCGTTGTATTTCAGAGAAGCGTAGAGAACAGTGATATTGCCGACCAGCCCCAAAAGTGCTGCCAGACTAAGGTAGATTAGCAAGATAACCTGCTCAGATAGAGACAGCTCTGTCATCTTACGGTTACTAGGGTTACTAGGGGTTATGGTTACTAGGGTTACTAGTTGCCCCAAAAGTGCTGCCAGACTAAGGTAGATGAGCAAGATAACCTGCTCAGATAGAGACAGCTCTGTCATCTTACGGTTACTAGGGTTACTAGGGGTTATGGTTACTAGGGTTACTAGGGGTTATGGTTACTAGGGTTACTAGTTGCCCCAAAAGTGCTGCCAGACTAAGGTAGATTAGCAAGATAACCTGCTCAGATAGAGACAGCTCTGTCATCTTACGGTTACTAGGGTTACTAGGGGTTATGGTTACTAGGGTTACTAGTTACCCCAAAAGAGCTGCCAGACTAAGGTAGATGAGCAAGATAACCTGCTCATACAGAGACAGCTCTGTCATCTTACGGTTACTAGGGTTACTAGGGGTTATGGTTACTAGGGTTACTAGTAGCCCCAAAAGAGCTGCCAGACTAAGGTAGATCAGCAAGATAACCTGCTCACACAGAGACAGCTCTGTCATCTTACGGTTACTAGGGTTACTAGGGGTTATGGTTACTGGGTTACTAGTTGCCCCAAAAGAGCTGCCAGATGCAGACTAAGGTAGATTAGCAAGATAACCTGCTCACATAGAGACAGCTCTGTCATCTTAATAACTTACTATTTAGTTAAATTGTCATTATGTTAATAGGTTGGACGTTATACAATCTAGTAATTAGTATCAACAGGACTTCGCCTACATACGAAGACAAATGTCTTACCAAAAAGTAAAGACAGTTAAAATTATTTGAACCATTTAGTTAAATTAAGTGCAGAATTCTAAAAACAGAGATTTATCACTTAACACAGGCTCACCCCTGGTATCCAACTATTATGCCTCAGACACGAATAGGGGGTAACATGTACATGTTTAGTGTTTACCATCCAAACTTAAAAGCACTCGAATACAAATATAATACAATATTAATAGATAGCCAGATTACGAACTTTGCTATTAATCTTGCAGTACTGGAGACCCTAAAACAGGTGTACAACCGGTAAAAACAGTCACAAACATCAGGTGTTGAAAAAAAAAACAGTGCACTTTCGGAAGACCAGCTGTTGTCAAACAATAATTTCTCCAGCTCGCTTCAAGGCAGTTACTTAAAGAGACAAATGAGAGGATTATTTAATATTTAGTAAGAGGCACCGCGGGATAATAGCTCAATTTTAAAGATTTAATAGTTCTTACAGGTGGATTAAAGGTGTTACTATAGATACCAGCTTTAAGGTGGACTGTGTTATTATCAAAAGGGGGGGGGGGGGCACATACTCATGGGGGGCACATACTCATGGGGGGCACATACTCATGAGGGGCATACTCATGGGGGGCATACTCATGGGGGGGCACATACTCATGGGGGGGGGCACATACTCATGGGGGGGGGGCACATACTCATGAGGGGCATACTCATGGGGGGCACATACTCATGGGGGGGGGGGCACATACTCATGAGGGGCATACTCATGGGGGGCACATACTCATGGGGGGGGGGCGGCATACTCATGGGGGGCATACTCATTGGGGGAGGGGCACATACTCATGGGGGGCACATACTCATGGGGGGCATACTCATGCCCCGCCCCCCGCCCTCAAAAGTGTTGGACGAAAGTGGGATGATAATGAAATATGATGCTCCAGTACCATCTTCAAAATAAAGGCAACATTACTCAATAACTCAATAACTCAAGTCTCAATAACTTTATGACAAAATCAATACAATAACCGGATTACGGTTTACAGTAACTAAATCTTGACTGAACATTCGGTGGTAAGATATAGGGGCTGGATCTAGTAGTTTCAACAACTGAAATCTTATTATTGTAACTATGTGATATCAGATATATCACGTAATATGTCATGTGATTGTCATCGGATGTTAGTCGTTAGTTCAAGAAACTAACATTTTAAAATAGAAACGTCAAGTCGGAGTCATAATATAGTCAGTTGAAAAGCATACACTAGAGAAGTTGAAATAAAAGAATAAAATCGAATTAAAATTAAAGGGGAACCCTAATATTGATAAAGGAGGAAATTTGATTATAATAAATTAAAAGCTGTATAAATCAAATTTGTAAGGTAACCAAGTTTCACGGTTCACGGAAAATACAGACATCAGTACATACCATTCTACCGGGGTAAAACAACTAGATACCATGACACTGGTAACCATGACAACTACACTGGTAACTGTGACAACTACACTGGTAACCATGCCAACTTCACTGGTAACCATGACAAATACACTGGTAACCATGACAAATACACTGGCTACCATGACAACTACACTGGTAACCATGACAAATACACTGGTTACCGTGGTCCATGACAACTACACTAGATACCATGACAACTACACTGGTTAACATGACTACTAGACTAGTAACCATGACAACTACACCGGTTTCCATGACAACTACACTAGTTAACATGACAACTACACTGGTTACCATGACGACTGACCTAATTTGGCGCAGAATATCATAGACTGCGGGTTTGCGGAGGGATCATATCTGTCTTGACTGACATTTTCACCGTACACAGGAACTGTAATAGAGAAGTTCTCTGGGATTATCATAGATCCAAACTTTTCCGAAACTGCTTCTATCCTCTCTTTTGATACCTGAATACATTAAATTGTAGGGAAATGTGTAGTGCAGTCGGTGAACAACAGAGAATGATTCAACTATTTCGTAGACTTCTTTACACCCCCTTATTTCAGCTATCGAACTTAACAATTGCCTTTTGGAAGGGAATGTTCACATAACAAAATAGCAAATATAGCAAATATAGCAAATACTGGATTATTTCTTAAACTCACTTGTATAGTAACAGGGCATTTGTGTAGCCATGCAACTGTTCAAATACATTACACTATACACAAAACGCTATCAAACATTAGCACATAGATCAAGAAAAAAAGGACAATACCAGATAAATACACTGGTTACCGTGACAACTACACTGGTTACCATGACAATACCAGATAAAACAAACCTTAGCAAAGGGAGGAAGTTTCTGATCGAAATTGAGGGGGTTGTAAAAGTGAGCAGTGTCAGAGAGGATAGCGAGCCACTCTGGGTCGTATTCCAGCACAGGAGGTGTTGACAACTAGGGGGAGGTGGTGTTAGCACCTGATGCCCATATAAGGGCATTACTGTTAGCACTGTGCTCTGCAGAAATAACACTGTACTCTGCAGAAATAACACTGTGTACTAGTGTACAACTACCTTGATAATTGACAGTTGAAATGGGAGAACTATGTCGTACTTCTGCAGAATGCAGTGTGCAGTTGTTGATGGGTGAGTTTTAAAACATACACACATTCACAAGAGTTACGATGTATCTGTAACTTTGTGTTGTAAATGTACAGAGAGGTATGTAGATTGTAGAGAGGGGGGTAGGGGAGGTATGTAAGGAGGGGTAGGGGAGGCCGGAGGGGAGGAAAGGCATGTATGTATACTGTATCTAGTGTAAAATGTATAGAGGAGACGTAAGTTATGCAGGGAGGGGCGGGAGAGTGTGTATAATGTATAATGTATACTGTAGTATGTATAGTGTATAGTGTATACTGTAGATAATAACTCACCGTCTTGCCAATCTCAACTATCTGTAAGAACCTCCTCTTGGGTAAACACTTATCTAGCGCTAAAAACCTAAAAGTGATGTAAATAGTTTACTATAATTGAATGAAGTTGTTCGACTTCGAATCATTGTTCGAATCATTACTTAGAATTGAAACTAGCTAATCAAAAAGTTAAAATTATCATTAAATCAAAAAGTTAAAACATAATCATTAAATTAGAAAGTTAAAGTAATTATTAAATTTAAAAGTTAAAAACCTGGTACATTTTCCGAACTGATCGTGCGGTATTATTGCTGAGAACTTAACGTGAAGGTGCCCTGAGAACCAATAACAAGGTTGCAGTGTTTCCAGTATCTCCGCAGCTGGTGGGCTACCTGAGCAATAATAATGACACAATAATACACAATATTTCTACAAAAATTTATAAATTAAACTAAAATGCTTGGTACAAAGACCCAGTAAAAATGTAATTTATTATGGTTACCACAGCTTAGCTGGGGGGGGGGGTACCAATGGCATAAAATGGCATAAATGGCATACGTTTTATGGCATAAATGGAAATTTTTATTGGCCAATTCTCCATTTATGCCATGAATTTAGGTCTTCATATTTGACTTTAAATTCGCAAATTATTATTAGTACTTGAATAAGAGACATGTTTCATGCTTTATAACGCTTGGAATGATCGTTAAAGATTCATATGACAAATAAAGAAACTAGAAATGTACTATATCAAAAATGGCATAAATGGCATACGTTTTATGGCATAAATGGAAATTTTTATTGGCCAATTCTCCATTATGCCATTTATGCCATTGGTACCCCCCCCCCCCCCCCCCCCCCCCCCTTAGCTGTTTAATCCTCAAACAACTTTTTATTAAATTATAATATAGCTGTGACAGCTATATAAGTTAATAAAAAGCTTTTTGAGGATTAAACCCAAGATATCCATTATGCTTATCTCCTTATTTTATTTATCAGTCTATTAATAATAACGGGGCACCAGATTTTAGATGCCAAAATTTAATAATTGAGGGTCGTTATTTTCGAGAGGTTTCCATCCTGATCTTTTCTTTCCAGTTTCCATCCTGATTTTTATTAAAATGTAAAAATTTACCCAGCTCGTTGTTTCGAACATCTTCCTCAAAGAATGGTTTTGCTCGGAGTAACTGTTCCTTGTTGCCGTATTCGTATACACCTGCAAAATAAAGGTTTTAGAATTGGCCTTATGAAAAGTTAAAATTATGTGCCAATTGATTTTTATCATCGACTTCACAAATACATCGTGAACCATTTCCACCATGACGAAAATGGAGAATTTCCGTCTAAAAAGATAAATGGAGATTTATCTTTGAGGAGATTAAATTTAGGAGGTAAAAACAACACAGTAAAAATAGAGAATAACCAACCAAGTGGCCAGTCATGAGACAGAAACACATCAACAGGTCTCTGTAAAGATTTACATCTCATAACCTCCAAACTTCTGACATGGAACACTGACACTATCTCCGGAGGGCTGAGGGGAGGGGTCTCGTGGTGCCCCTTGTGGTAGTCAAACTTCTTGTAAATACCTGGGGTAAATACCTGGGGTAAATACCTGGGGTAAATACCTGGGGTAAATACCTGGGGTAAATACCTGGGGTAAATAACTTGTAAATACCTGGGGTAAATAACTTGTAAATACCTGGGGTAAATACCTGGGGTAAATACCTGGGGTAAATGCCTGGGGTAAATACCTGGAGTAAATAGTTCTTGTTAATACCTGGGGTTAATAACTTGTTAATACCTGGGGTTAATAACTTGTAAATATCTGGGGTAAATAACTTGTTAATACCTGGGGTAAATACCTGGGGTAAATGCCTGGGGTAAATACCTGGGGTAAATAGTTCTTGTTAATACCTGGGGTTAATAACTTGTAAATAACTGGGGTAAATAACTTGTAATTTGTAAATACCTGGGGTAAATTTTTTAATAAAACAAATATTTTTTAAAATAAAACAAATATTTATTTTTACGGCACAATCAAACAATATCAATAATAAATAAATCAGGGGAGGTTTGAAGAGGTTTCAAGTGCCGAAGGCCACTGCTTATCTTTAGGATTTGAGAGTGACCTGTGCTTGAAACCCCCTCAACCATCCACTACGTCAATATACTTATTATACAAATATAGAAAAATATAATTATCTAAAATTGCTTATTGGTCTAGTTTGGTGACACAGGAGAGCCCAGTTGAGTTTTAGTTTCGGTTTAGGTTTTAAATCATGGTTTAAAAGGTTAGCCATGTTTCATGGCAGAGAGAGATATCATGTGTGCAGAGCCGTACCGGATGTAGAATTTGAGATATAATATTATAGATTAGTTACCATGTATTATAGGGTCATCTCGATTTTGGAGGGAAAGCAAGTGCTTTTTAAAGTTAGATTTAATAATACCTGCCGAGGCTGATAAGTCTGAATTTTTGGAAGAACCCGGGATTATTATCCCATCTTCATTAGCATCACATATTTCGAATACATAGGGGATGAGATCATTCCAAATTTTTGTAGAGGTGTTCAAAAGGTGTATTGGTGTAAATACCTTGGGTAAATAACATGTAAATACCTGGGGTAAATAACTTGTAAATACCTGGGGTAAATAAATTGTTAATACCTGGGGTAAATAACTTGTAAATATCTAAGGTAAATACCTTGTAAATACCTGGGGTAAATAACTTGTAAATACCTGGGGTAAATAACTTGTAAATACCTGGGGTAAATAACTTGAAAAATACCTGGGGTAAATAACTTGTAAATACCTGGGGTAAATAACTTGAAAAATACCTGGGGTAAATAACTTGTAAATATCTGGGGTAAATAACTTGTAAATATCTGGGGTAAATAACTTGTAAATACCTGGGGTAAATACTTGTTAATACCTGGGGTAAAGAGGGGAAGAAATAGTGAGTTTTTATTTGATCTGATGTTTTGAGGACCAGTAGTCAGGACTTTGTTGTTGAGGGGAGGCAACTCATCGTTATCAAAACTCGACTATATACAATAACTAAAACGTTTAATTAAGAAACATGTTAAAGTAAACCTGAAATGCCGCCAATCCGTACGCCACCAACGTTGATAACTCCAGCGGATCCTAGATAGTAAATCTTGGGAGCAAGCCAACCTCCGTAGTAGCTGTAAGTAACGGTAAACAAGCAGATCCTAGATAGTAAATCTTGGGAGCGAGCCAACCTCCGTAGTAGCTGTAAGTAACGGTTACTTTTCAATAAATATTTAAACAAGTACTAATCACGATATTTATCTTAATAAAATAATTCCGGCATATTTCACAAGCGAGCTGGACGAGAGCCAGTTTACTGGCTACATAAATCTCACTAGTCACTATTAGTAATCGACTGAGAAAAGCGCGCTAAAATATAGCGGCGCATGGGAATATGAGTGCTGAAATAAACTTTCAACCGAAGTTTTGTAAAAATTAGAGCACGTCTTGTATGCATCACTGAATTTTAATCAGGCGAATGTTTTTACTTTTTGTTTGAGTTGTATAAATTAATATTATATGAGGGATTTTTAACGTTATTATTTTAACCAGATTTCGGCCATTTTAGACACCATCCCCCTTCGTAAGTCACTTTACACATAGCTGTTGTGTAAACATTACGAGCTTTTCCAAACCGCCGGGCCCAGACACTGAGACACACTAGGTGTTGGCAAGTACTTCTATCTGAGCCACCTCAATGAACATCTTAATTATGTAAGAAGTTGATAACGTGCCCTTTAATTTACAGTAATACCCCATTATCGCGGAGTTGGGGAGAAAAGCCGCGGTAGATCAGTGTTAGCGGTAAATTGAGGTTCTACTGTATAAATACATGACAAGAAGTACGTGATAATAAATACTCACAGCTCCCACATGTGATTGCTTGCCTCGTGGTTTCCTCCTATAACAATAGTTAAACAAGGAGCTACACTTTCCCCACTGTAGTACTTCCAGAATGAAGCTATTCGAGCATGTTTCTTTGGCACTTTCATCGACTTCAAGTCGTTTTCATTCCTGCAGGCCTGAGGTTAAGTTTATTTAGGATAATTGTAATACATCATTATAGGGTTCAAAACGTAGTGTGTGGAACGAGATAATATCTCGATAAGATTATCGGCGTCATATCGTTATCGGTTTATCTCGATAATTTTGTACTAATAAATTTTTTAGGTAACACGACTCCTGTCCGACAGCGACATCTGTCCGACAGCGACATCTGTCCGAATAAGGGTACCAGAAAAAACGACATCTGTCCGAAATTGTAATCTGATTTCAATACGATAATTTCCAATAAGAGACATATTCTGAACTGTTACTTGCTAATTTGTATACGTAACATTTCCGATCTGAGATATGATCTGAGCCATCCGATCTGAGATGATCTGAGCCATCCGATCTGAGATATGATCTGTACCATAGTTTATTTTCATTTGATGTCGATAAATTGGACAATAGTTTAAATGTTTTATTAATGTTCATAGGGTTGCTGTAGTTTTTGTAATCATCTACAATTCTCTGAAGTTGTCGATCATAACGGATCCATTTGGGCGCATGTTGTGCAAATTGTGGGCATCGAGCAGGAGAGAATTGAATGGAATCCGTGATGCCAACCTTCTGCGATATTGGATGAGCGAGGAATCATTGTCTGTGCGGCTTCGTGTTGATTCCACATGTGGGAGCGAAGTTAGGATTGGTGGTTAATGACCCGATCCAAGCATGTTTTCGTCTATAGAGCTATAGGAAGGAGGGGCTTCAGGTGCCTCCAGATTATAGGGACGTTAGTCTCCGGTACGTATCGGAAGCCATTCAGGACAGGGTTCTCCGAGCCTTATTTGCGTCCAGGGACAAACTGAAGATTGGTTGCCATTGTGGATTGCGATAACTGATCTCCATACCGCTGTCCTATATGTACTCATGTAGGCTGTGTCCTGTGATGTGATCGACAGTGTACAGCTAGCACAATCCTGTCCTCAACTAGTCAATCACGTATCACTGGATTAGTTCTCAATGGATCACATCAGCATTAGATAAATGGGAGCAACGGGCGCCAAATTGTAGTTTGAATGTGGGAAAATTTAGAGATTTTACCGGCATATCCTCTAAAACCATCTAATTTGTTCAATTTTAGGGGGGGCCAAACGGGAGGGGGCCGCCAACAGGCAACGTTACGCCACTGCCTCGGACGTAGAAATTTAACATTCAAAATCGTTATTGGTTTATCTCGATAATTTGGTACCGATAACCGAGAAATTTTTAAAAATCCTCGGACGTAGAAATTTAACATTGAATCCTTGAAAAATATTCTTTTTCAATGGTAATTCTAGGCATTAGCACAATAATTACTGTCGTGAACCGCTAATACGCCATACCTATAACTTATTCCATTTAATTTATTTAATTTTTATTTAATTTTCCATTCCCAATTTAAATACAGAGTACCCAACAATAGGTTCAATAGGTAGGAACTCACCTGTATAATATAATACTAATATACCTATACCCAACAATAGGTAGTATTAGGAACTCACCTGAAAATCCCCACAGCAGATAAGGATATCTATTTTATTACCAGTTTCTCTCTCTGACTGTATTATAGACTCGTATATGTTATCTAATTCTCCGTGACTGCATCCTTGCACTGCAATCTGAAGTACAATGTATTATAGACTTGTTAATTTACATCTATTGATTGATTGGCGCTAATATTGTAGACTATTGTTTTTCCACTGTTTGGGAACTAGAGTGTTAAGTAATAAGTTAGACCCAAACTAAACAATAAATAAGAATACAAAATTTTAAGAATACAAATTTGAATTTTGATCTTTTATCTTTATTACAGATTATACATATCATAGATAACCATAAAAGCCGCGCGTCGGCTGATTGCCTCAACTTGGATTAATAGTTATTTCAGTTGACAGAAGCTGAAGGACGGCAGCTCAAAAGGCTCAGTGCACCATCGACAAGATCAAGGACTCGAGTGCCAATAATGGATTTTCCGAACCCACTCAGAGCAACAATCCCGGAGTGGAACGATCCAATGATGGGAAGTTTAGCAGTATAAATAGAAATGAACGCTTAAACCATGTGTTCAATTGTGGAAATTATTGGTTGTTTAATTTATCTGATAACTATATAACAAGTAAATAATTCAATAAATTCAAAACATTCCAAAAGTAAATAATTCATACCTGAAATTGCCAAACTATGGTATTAATAAGCCAATTAAGATCTGAAAAACACCCATAAGAAGCAACTCCCAACTTTAATTTCAAACTATTAAGTAAGGATATCTACTGATTTTATTAAGTGAAAAGTATGTACCAACAATGTTATAATATGAAAAACAGATTTTTTTATGAATTTGACTGATTAAATTCCGCCTTTCTTACAATTTCACGTTTGATTTAATAAACTATGATGGTTATAATATATGAATTTGACTTTTTAGAGTGCTTATCTTAAATGTTTTACAGGCTCTAATGATGTAGTTTTACGAAGATTTCAAGCCGTACAAAAACAGACTTTAGTATAACTGTATACTAAGTAATAACTCACCCTCATTATTGCAAATTATCTGAGATTCTCTCACAAACTTTCTCCCTCTACATCATGAACATTTTTCCTGAATAAAAGTTAATCACAAAGTTGATTAAAATACATGTTTACCTGATAAAATCTCTAGTATTTGATATTTAGGCTTGAGACAAATCCGAATACTGACTGAAATCAGCTTTGAACTTGATAAAAGGGAACGGTATACCATTCTGATGATGTGTAAGATCCTTCACAATATTAGGTTCACAAAAACATCCAGACATGGTACCCGAGCAATCATCCCTTCCCTGTCTAGGTTGAGTTCCTCGAGCAACCAGACACTCTATGACAGCTCATTTGCAGTAAGAGGACCAAAACTATGGAACTAGGTGCCTGACAGTATTAAAGCTGAAGCTACTTTTGACTCGTTTAAAGTCAGTTTGTCCAAGTTTCTTGCTTTGATACCCGACAACCCTCCGATTTCCGGTTATAGCTGCAGCTGGTCCAATTCCCTGGTAGACTTTTCACCATTGAGGTGGTCAGACATCTGATGACCCTTCCTGCTACGAGGATAAACTCTACCAAAATAACCAAAGTAAGTAAGAAAATGAAACAATGACATTGCACGATAGAAATTTGATTAAATTGAATGAAATATATACAAAAAATGTTAATTTAACTTTTTTTTAACAAATGTCCACATTATAAAGCAATCTATAATACAATAAAAGCTGTCTATACTGTGCCTCTCTATGCCAGGAACCTTGAAATACTGGCCCTCTTCTTTTTCCCTGATTTTTGGTCAATGTTTTGATATTTCCGAAAGTAATGTGATTTTTGAGTGCTCACATCTGATTTGATGGTAATGAGTGAACTGAGTATTCCAATTTCCATCAACATCCCAACACACAACACACATTCAAGGCCCCTAATGGAGTATAGGGGGGGGGTGTCATGTCCGTCCATGTCCGCCTATGTCCTGTCCTTTTTGGATTCTATGAGACAACGGACGTGTTTTTTGGGACATTGGCGGACACGGACGGACATTGGCGGACTCGGACGGACATTGGCGGACTCGGACGGACATTGGCGGACTCGGACGGACACTGGCGGACCCGGACGGACATTGGCGGACTTGGATGGACATTGGTGGACATTAGCGGACATTGGTGGACATTAGCGGACAAACATTTTGAGGACTGAAGAGTACTGAAGAGTACTGAGGAGGATGGCTGAGAAGGATGGCTGAGGAGGATGGCTGAGGAGGATGACTGAGCGGGATGACTGAGGAGGTTGACTGTGAGGGAGGTTTAGGATCAGGAAGACCCAGGAGGAGGAGGACCCAGAAGGAGGACCTAGGAGGAGGAGGAGGAGAACTGAGGAGGATGACTGAGGAGGAGAAGGACTCAGGAGGAGGACTGAGGAGGACTGAGAAGGAGGAGGACTGAGGAGGATGGCTGAGGAGGATGGCTGAGGAGGATGACTGAGAGGGAGGAGGAGGAGGAAGAGGAGGAAGAGGACTGAGGAGGAGGAGGAGAAGGACTGAGGAGGAGAAGGAGGACCCAGGAGGAGGAGGACCCAGGAGGAGGACCCAGGAAAAGGCCCCAGGAGGAGGAGGAGGACTGGGGAGGAGGAGAACTGTTGAGGACTGATGAGGAGGACTGAGGACGAGGAGGAGGAGTAGGAGGAGGACTGAGGAGGGGAGGAGGAAGAGGACTGGGGAGGATCAGGAAGACCCAGGAGGACCCAGGAGGAGGAGGAGGACCCAGGAGGAGCACTGAAGAGGACTGAGGAGGAGGACTGACGATGACTGAGAAGGAGGAGGACTGAGGAGTACTGAGGAGGATGGCTGAGGAGGATGGCTGGGGAGGATGGCTGAGGAGGATGACTGAGGAGGATGACTGAGAGGGAGGAGGAGGAGGACTCAGGAGGAGGACTCAGAAGGAAGAGGAGGAGGACTCAGGAGGAGGACTCAGGAGGAGGACTGATGAGAAGGATGAGGAGGAGGACCCAGGAGGAGGAGGACTGAGGACCGAGGAGGAAGAGGTGGAGGATGAAGAGGAGGAGGAGGACCCAGGAGGAGGAGGACTGAGGAGGAGGACTGAGGAGGAGAAGGAGGACCCAGGAGGAGGAGGACTGGGGAGGAGGAGAACTGTTGAGGACTGATGAGGAGGACTGAGGACGAGGAGGAGGAGTAGGAGGAGGACTGAGGAGGGGAGGAGGAAGAGGACTGGGGAGGATCAGGAAGACCCAGGAGGACCCAGGAGGAGGAGGAGGACCCAGGAGGAGGAGGAGGACTGAGGAGGACTGAGGAGGACTGAGGAGGACTGAGGAGGAGGACTGACGATGACTGAGAAGGAGGAGGACTGAGGAGTACTGAGGAGGATGGCTGAAGAGGATGGCTGGGGAGGATGGCTGAGGAGGATGACTGAGGAGGATGACTGAGAGGGAGGAGGAGGAGGACTCAGGAGGAGGACTCAGAAGGAAGAGGAGGAGGACTCAGGAGGAGGACTCAGGAGGAGGACTTAGGAGAAATGAGAAGGAGGACTGAGGAGAACTGAGGAGGAGGAGGAGGAGGAGGACTGAATAGGAGGAGGAGAAGGAGGGAGACTGGGAGAGGACTGGGGAGGAGGAGGACTGATGAGAAGGATGAGGAGGAGGACCCAGGAGGAGGAGGACTGAGGACCGAGGAGGAAGAGGTGGAGGATGAAGAGGAGGAGGAGGACCCAGGAGGAGGAGGACTGAGGAGGAGGACTGAGGAGGATGGCTGAGGAGGATGACTGAGAGGGAAGAGGAGGAGGAGGAGGAGGACTCAGGAGGAGGAGGAGGACTCAGGAGGACTGAGAAGGAGGAGGAGGAGGAGGAGGACTGAATAGGAGGAGGAGGAGGGGGACTGGGGGAGGACTGAGGAGGAGGATGGAGGACTGAGGAGAAGGATGAGGAGGAGGACTGAGGAGGACTGAGGACTGAGGAGGAAGAGGAAGAGGATGAAGAGGAGGAGGAGGACCCAGGAGGAGGACTCAGGAGGAGGAGGAGGACTCAGGAGGAGAAGGACTGAACTTGAGGACTGATGAGGAGGACTGAGGACGAGGAGGAGGAGTAGGAGGACTGAGGAGGGGAGGAGGAAGAGGACTGAGGAAGATCAGGAAGACCCAGGGGGAGGAGGAGGAAGAGTAGGAGGAGGAAGCATCTAAATGTTATTTCCATTTTTGTCCATTTTTGTCCGTTTTTGTCCGCTCTATTTTTTGTCCGTTTTGAAAATATAGGGTACCGAACGGACAAAAAACATGATCCCCCTATAACAGCAAAAATTGAACATTTTATTTAGCAATTTAGGTGTCCATTAATGTCCGCCTATGTCCGTCTATGTCCGCCTATGTCCGTCTATGTCCGCCTATGTCCGCCTATGTCCGCCTATGTCCGTCTATGTCCGCCTATGTCCTGTCCTTTTTGGATTCTATGAGACAAGCGGACATAGACGGACGTGACACCCCCCCCCCCCCCCCCCCCCCCCAGTATATGAAACACAGCAGTGGCGTAGAAAAGCAGGTTTTTTAAACATCAGGTATCCAGGTCCCCAACATCATCTACCTCAGGGAACATTTCCGTATAGATCTGTTTAGTTGATGTGTCTCTCAAACGAGCCATGTGTCCTATCAGCTCCTGAGCAGTGTCTTTAACCTCGTTGTACTGATGTAACAGGTCAAGGTAATAGTCAACGTCTTTAGAAGTAATATCTTTGTATTCTGTCAGCTCTTTTCCTACATTTTCTAGTTTCTCTCCAACAGAACACAGATCTCTTAATTCTGGCGAGTCGTTTTCAGATTTACACTGGCTTTTTTCTTGAGGTGTGCTTGCAGAACTCATCCATAGGACTACGAATACATTTTGAGGGAAATCCATGTTAGACTTAAAGTAGACATTACTGGAAAATTTGTTAAAAATTTTAAAAAAGGGGGACCCCCAACCCATGTAGCAGGTAGCAGAGACACCTCACAGCAAGTAGACCAAAGTGGCTTTTGCTTGTGAACTGTGCATCAACTACCCGCCCAAGCAGTGGGTTGGAAGTCCTCCCTGAGATCATTTCGTCCGTAAAATTGTATACATTACTGGAAAATACATTTGGGAAATAGCAGAAATCGGTGTTATAAATTTTGAAATAGATTTCATTAGAAAGGAATAGACTGTTAACCAGGGTAACTACTTCATCTTTTAAGGACAATTAATTCCTATTGGACTCCTAGCAGAGCAGTTGTTTCGTACAATTCCGTAAATTATTTATATAGATGATTTTTTGATCAATTAGAAATATTTTTAGTGAATATTTGCTTTATTTACCTGATCTGATAATTTAAATTATGCTCATATAATGATAAAACAGCTATGTTTTTCAATAAAACATATAGATAAGTTATAGCAGCACTAGGCATCCAGTCATAAGTATTTGGGTAAGGCAGAACATGAAAGTGTAAACAAACTTTGTCAGACAAGCAAAATTAGCACAAAGGAATAATAAACGGTAGAATGATGCATTATATGATTTAAAACACCAACCCAACTACAGAAAGTCGAAAACTTGCTATGAACCTATAATTTTAAACCTGGTTCGGCTTAAATACTATAATTTATGCTGGAAACCGCAATAACGAATGCATCATTTGTATCACGTCGTGACCCCCACGGTCGTTTCACTATGGTATCAAATAAACCAATTCAGTATCAACAAACCACGATAAACTATGTAGAAGATAAGAGGTATAAATCAAGAGGCTTGCATATAATGAACACATTGACACGGGTGCAGAGTTGAGTCTGTACGGAACCTAGTAGTTTCAGATCCTTGTTTAACTTGCCGTACAGCAAGGTCATCCACTACTTTAGCCCGGCGAGGCACATAACTCCCTCTACAACTCCATGACAAATGTTTCACATATACTAGCCGAGTTCACAAGTTATATCCTTGTGTTTGAGAAGAGCTCGTTAGAACTGCTTCCTTTCCCTTCAGTATCCCACAGTCTCTCGAGTTTCGTAACTGCCAGAGAACTCTCTTAAACAATTACTAGACTCGGTGATTATAAATCAAGAGGCTTGCATATAATG